ACTTGAGTTTCAGCTCACTTCAGAGGCCTCATCGCACCGGACTCTGGAACATGCTAAAGAACGTTCACCACATATTTCGATCGAACGTTTCACTGCGCCGCCTAACTTCACTCACCCCTATTCCGGGCCATATCACAGGTACTGAACCGACAGTGTGTGAAGCAGAGTCACTTGTATAATAAGTCAGGACGTCCCTGTAGCACCATTCAGTTTTTCGGTTTCCCGAATGCAGCCGAAACGAACCAATGATAGTTGAGCGCTCGTCATCTGTGAAATGCTGTGGGTCATGCCTGTTACAATGAACGTGTTTATGGATGATGACCTTGGGAGATAGCCATCATGATTATAAATAATCGATTGGTGTGGTTAGGCTTTATCCGCTTAGTTTAGTAGCTCAGCTCGCACGATCAATCCGGGGATCAATGAATATAGTTGGAATCGCCATGCAGCCCAGTTCAGTGGCGGAATTTGAAAGGGGCTGTTTGAAGATCTGAACCAAGTATCATTAAGGGTTACTGTAGAAGTTGGAAGCAAGGTTGACCGTCTCCATACAACTCACCTTTGTCATCCGAATTACCAAACTTTTGCCGTGATCCACAATACTTATCCGGCTGGAATTCGATACCACGTCACCATCCTTGAGCCACACCACTGAGTCCACATCCCCGCTCACATCGCAGTGGAGACGAGTTGGTTCACTGACTTTGATTGGTTCGTCCGACTGGTACACATGAACACGAGGTCGGGCTACACATGCGGAAGAAGGGATCAAAATGAAATCCGCCAGCGCATTGGTGATTAAAAATCCTGATTTCTCTAGTCGACTCTTAGGTGCTACTAGTGATGCTTTGGCCGGAATACTACCCGCGAAAGTTAGCCACACTAAATAGCTTTTTTTTAGAAAGTACGTAGAGAATATCGGCAATCAGCTAATCTCCGCACGGAGCGTGCAGCGTCAACTGGCACATGAATACCGGGTATTCAAATCGGTAGCTAGAACCATGGTTTTCATTGGACTGCAACATTTGCACAAGAAATATATATATATATATATATATAATGAGCCTTTACTACATAATAAAAAGCCCGTAAAGTGTTTGTGCGGTAAGAAGTGCATAGAGCACCAAAGTTCTATTGTTTGTACTTTAGATAACAACAGTTGAACCCATTTGGAAAATCCATACTTATCGGTAAACATACTTTTAACACGTAGTTCGAACGGATATTCCACAACCCCGGCTTCATTCTTAGCGAGGCAAGCATACATTCCTGGTTGTTCGGTTCTGAGTGGTCCAAGAACCAGTGAACCAATCCCGTTCTTGCTCGGATTACCTGAAATTGGCAAGATAAGATGTTTGTACCATATTTGTACCAGAGTACCAGAGTCGGTTTGCAGCCATTACGACAGAATCAACCCAAAGATAACGCTCAGAATTTCACTGCCTATTATCGATCGGAAATTATGAATTTTCATTAAGTCTGATACCGAACTCGGGATTATGCACACAAAAGATCTCATCACGAGCCCGGATTTGAAGCCTAAACTAGCTCCAAACTACAGTTGTTTTCACTTTTTACTTATTCCTGTGATGACTATTTCGGAGATAATATCTGAATTAAGCAATCATTTAGAAAGAGCTGCGTGCCAAGATTCAGTCATTCAGTTCATAACAGAACTTCTGTCTCAATATATGGCAAGCGCACTCACATTTTCGGAGTGCCGTTACGCTTCTCAACGTAGTAGGTGCGCGTTACTTTTCACAAGCGGAATGTCCCAGTATATTTTATTAAGTGTCTTGATAAATTTCTTAAGCTGACTTATTAAAGACCCTGAAGTTTGTTGATATTCTGATGGTATATGCGAATTCTCGAAGGAGGGTTTATCGCTTGAGTGGAGTTAACCCTGGGAGTCGAGGAGCCATGCCGTCCTCATTACGTCATTACATCATGAGCAGTACGCATCCTAGTAAAATCGAACCCCCGACCACCCGGATAGTAGGTTGAACTCCTAAACGTTTGGCCGCAAGCAGCGGTCACTCACTCAAACATAATATAGCGCCACCCATACTTTAATTACTCAATTTACCCGACATTATAACACGGTTTTGAATCTTTTTGAGAGGTGCACTACCGATGATTCCCAATAGGGATGCTTCTCAACTTTTGGACCTGGATTAGCCTCATTTGCGGAACGAAATCTGGATTGAAATATTAAACTGTTTTAGTAGAGAGCAAAGAAAACTCAATGTGGCGACATCCCCTCACCGAAGCAGTAAAATTATCCTGCCAAGTTACCCGGGCCGCCGTCTTTGCAAGCTGTGTTTGTCCAGCCATGTTCGGCCATAATGCTTTATTCTTCCACATTGTTTCTAATCGATGATTACCGCCTTATTGTCTTGGTTAGGCGTTAGTTGTATGACGAGGTTGCGGGATACTACTAATAGAACCTTGGTTCCCAAGTATTCACAGTGCCGGTGGGTCACCTTACTAGTAGTGTAACGGTGTATGCTACTGATGAGGCGTGCAAGTAGTTTGTTGTCCCGTGTGCAGGCTCCACCCCCCATATCTGACGGATCACCTTACTAGAATGTAACGGTGTATGCTACTGATGAGGCGTGCAAGTAGTTTGTTGTCCCGTGTGCAGGCTCCACCCCCCATATCTGACGGAAGGTGTAGTTTACTACGGAAACTATGTACCTGCTTTGCAGCGTTTGTTTATACTTGTTTAATATTCAAAAAACGTCCAGGAGATCTCAAGAGGACCTTTGGGAATGTCCACTTTTAAAAAACTCTGTGTAGATGAGATTCTTTATTTTTGTGTCTAACAGCTTGTAACCGCTTAGTTCGTGTCTGTTGTCAGATAACTTCGCAGCAAGGGGTTTTCCCTCGCACTGGCTGCTGTAATACCTGGCGATCGGGTGTATTTTCACAAGGTGACCACAGGGAAGCATTGATGCTACCTTCTTCGGAGAAGAGGTGGAATAAGGCAGATCTAACCTAGAAACCGCACGGTTTGATGGTTGACCGTAGGCACCGTTGCGTTAGAAAATGCATCGAACTACCTAGGGACACAGAGAAACTCAAAGTGTATCACATTGGAAAGTCTCTACAGCTGAGTTGGTCAGTATAACGAGCCGTTGATACAGGAGCAGAAGAGCGACCATCGTGTTACGCCTCCAACAATGAGTCAAAAGATTAGGAATAGCGAAAAGAAAGTGAAGATTTGAAACTAGCTCCAGTTAGCGGTGAAAACAGACGAGAATGGAGGCACATTAACTTCAGCTCAGAATCCTGAGCTTCAGAATACTTCTAAACAGGGATAGAAGGCTCAAAACTCATAAGGATGTTTTTGCCAAGGCAACAACTCGTTGTCCTATCTATCCAGGCTGTTCTCGGCAAAATTCTCGGTCGACGAAGGTAAGCACAGAAAGTTGGTCACACCAGTCTAGAACTTAGTAAGGCGGTCAGTGGGATCCAAGAATGAATGCCAGTAAATTGGGTGGGCCAAACAACTCTGCATTCACACTTTGTGGCAGCATTGTGTGTCACACAGATTTCTGCTCACTCGGTAGAACCCTATCTGATAAGACGACAGTCGATACCAAACTATTTGCTTGGATTACTGAGCAAAGTACTGCATGTAAGTGTGTTCGGAACAGTTACAACCCGCTCTTGAAAACTACCGTTTTCAGTGAGTCAAGCTGTTGTATTTCCTCTAATGCGGATTGATGGTGAAACATAAGACCTTGACAGGTTACATTTATGAGCATAGGTAACTGTCAGTGAAGAAAAACTGACGATCCCAAACAAACCACGCTCAGCGAACTCAAGGGGAGTCTGATGAGCCACCAGCTACTTGGACTAGGCCACAAAAGCAGAGGCTGACAACCACATTCCGAGAGAAGCACGCAGCCTAAACTCAAGGCTCCACTATCACGACTGTCTCCAGTCAACTGAAGAACCTAAAGCTTGACAAAACAGCCGACAAGGGTTTCCATTAAGGCTTGGAACATTTTGATTTGCGGCGTACCGGACGTAAGCTAAACATTCGAAAAGGCCGTGCAACACAGCCACATGGGTCCGTACCATCCGTAGACATGCACGTCTGAGTGAGTCATTGGTCACTAGCTTACACGTAAACCCCACGGAGTCACTAGAAAACCGTTCCGAATGAGTTTTCCTTGATATAACAGCGCATACAAGACTTGATTGAAATGAGCTAAATATGCTGACTCTCATGATGCTACCATGCTTAGATCAGCTGGTGGTTCCCAATAGACTTGTGCGTGTCGACCTTATTCTCTCAAGCTTGCATCGGCGTCAGCGGTTTGGATGTGGCACTATACTCAGCTCAGCGCCAATCGATTGTGGTTGCTCGGTTCAATCAGTCCGCCTCGGATAGCCGCGAACCACTGACAAGTAAGAGCAACGACTGCTTTATTTGTCAATGCCGGTGAATTTTAAGGATCTTGAGATGGGTTCGCGAAGCAGCGAAGCGAAACTTCTACTTAACGTTTCTTACTTGGGATAGGGTCGTTTTTATGGGTCCAGCGAATATCCGGTTTTGGATGACCGTTCGCCACACATCTGAATTGTATCCATCGCGATTCATAGGCCTCTGTAGTTTTGTTCGGGGTTCGTTCGAAAGTGGGCTTAGCTGAAACAGGGATGAAGTGGATATAGTCGGGTGAAGGTAAAAAGCGATACAAAAAGTGACTCATATGAGTAAACTGCAGCGTATATTCGGCCTCAGGACAATAAGTCATTCAAATTGAAAGAAACAGCGCACACAGATTTTGACATGGAAGTCACTCTCGAGAAATACACTCATTTGCAGATCAATTTGGCTTTCGCGAGAGACTCAACTGAATTTCTCCTTTATGATATTCTTCAACTGAATGTCCTGCACACAGGCTGCACTACTCACAAGGTTGCTGAAAACTCTTCAACAGCCCTCGACCTTTCCATGCAGTTTCCTACATGAAAATATACTGCGATATCTCGAATATCGTGCCAACTAAAACATGAGGCAGCCTGTGCGCAGCACATTCAATTGTAGAATATCCTAAACGAGAGATTCAGTCGAGTCTCTCGTGAAAACCAAATCGATTTGCAAATGAGTGTATTTCTCTAAAACAGTCCAATTTGGTTTCAAGTAGAACATAAGGTTGACAGATACTCGGGGAGTGCGCCTACCTGATGAGCCCCAAGAAGGGTGAAACCGGTCGTGGGCTGTTCGAAGAGTTTCAGCAACCTTGTGAGTAGTTTTCTTTATGAAAGCAACTCTCCTGGTCGAATTTAACACATTTTGCTCGTTTTTAAGACTGTGTTTTAGTAGCCTGGTTTTCTTTGGAGCTGCAATCAAGACTGCCTCTATTTTCCCGAAAGTGGTTAGCTGACAGGCTTTTGACCGAAAATCAATACCCCCAAATTAAACACCAAAAAGTTTTTCTCAGACTTACTGAACACTGTCAGGTAAGTGGAATCCATAGCGACATCTTGTCCGGTCGAACGAGCGATGCAAAAGTAGCTCCCTCCATCTGAGGGCTGGAAAGAGAGTCGCATAAAATTCTCAGTTATTCTAGAAGCTTCTCATTGAGTTACATTGCACTATTTGAATGCCTCGTGTAGATCAAGAAGTCAACCGTATTTGAAAAAAATGGGTTGAAATCCGGTTTAACAAACCTGTAGATTGTAGATGGTCACTTGGGTAGGAGTTTCAAAACGGACCCTGTTGGCTAGGTAGCTTGATAGCGGTTGACCTCTAAACTCCCAAGAAACTTCCGGTTCTGGTTGACCTTCAACTTCACAATTGATTGTCACCGACTGTTCTTCATATCCAATCGTCGAGACGGGCATCGATACCCTCGGGGGAACTAGCAAGGAAAAAACACGAAAAAATGAAAGCTGAGTGTGTGTGTGTTGGGTCAATGAGACAAGAGAACCTGATAAGTAAACAACGATTACTTTGTACAAAAACTCTGTACGTCAGTCGGTCTTCTCCGGCATGTTGGGTCATGAGACAAGAGAACCTGATAAGTAAACAACGATTACTTTGTACAAAAACTCTGTACGTCAGTCGGTCTTCTCCGGCAGGATTTTTTGCAACGCATGTCAGTTCGCCTTCATCTTCTTGCCTGAAACGAAGCGAAAAAAGCGATATAGTTCAACGTCCCACTCAGTCAGAAAGTTTCTTATCGGAGACCGCCTCACAAGTACTCACTTGAGCGAGTTGAAAATGAACAACCCGGATTCTGTGGTGGTATAATAACTTCTTGTGCGGCTGAAGGTAAGTCCATCGCGTTCCCAAGTAATTATTGGTGTCGGAGAGCCACTTTCGACCTCACAGTGCAACTGCAACACCGAATTGAGTCGACCAGAAAGTTCCAAGGAAGCTGGTCTTCGGAGTTTTGGTGGGACTGCAAGCAGAAGTAAATCGATGGATAGTCATCGAGAGGGTTTGATAACCACCGCTAGTTTTTCGGTGGTTATCACCAAAGGTTATTTCAAACAACGATTTACACTAAAAGCCAGTAGTTTTCCTTTGAATCTGCACCTAAATTGTCATTAAACTTAACACTGAGATAAGATGAACGCAAGCTTCAAACATATGTTATATGGCCATCGGAAGACACTTTCCGCTAGAACTTACCCAGAACTTCCAAACTGATTACTGCATTCTGAAATCCAGCCTCGTTATTGGCCGAACAGCGGTAGCGGCCTGCATGTTCTGGGCGGACCTTTTCAATTAGAAGTCCCTGAAGTAAAAATAAAACGCAACAATCTTCAGACTTGTTTCCGAAAAGAATCATGAGATCTCTTGCCATATTAGTAGATTGGTTCACAACTAAAAGTACACCAGCAGGAGGTTTTTGTCCCCAAAAAACAGTCATATTAGTTGTACCTGTCTCCTTTCACTCCCTTCCTCCTGATGAAGCATGGTATTCAGAGACTGGTTCGCTCATCAGGCTTGTTCAAGTTCACCCACTGCTGGACAATCACAGAGGATGCGTTGGGTGAGTCGGCAGTGCAGCAAAGGTCAAACTGCTAGTACGGAAACATGCTTCACGAATCGACATGTGCTCATCCGAGCACTATCAGTTGGTAAAGGGAGTGGTAGACTTAGCAAAATAGCAAGGAATGATTCAAACCGTTGAGGTATGGGCGCTTTCCGCATTCCAAATACGAGGGCTGAAGCCGACTCACTTGATCTGGCAACTGCCTAAATACACCAGGTTGATCTGCCGTGATGAGTTGTCCCGATGGCAAGAGCCATTGTATGCGGATAGGTTGTGTTCCGGTTGCCTGACATGGTAACAAAACTTGAGCGTTTTCTTTCACGAGAATGGGCTCCAAGGAAGTGTGAATGGTTGGACGTTCTGCATGCAGAAACAGAAATTGGATGCGGATGAATTTGGAGGAAATGGGCTTAGGGAAGGGAAGAAAGCTACTGCGTGCCCACCCCGTTAGAGCGTCGCCGAGATCACTTCGATGGTACCGCTTTGATATGTGGACACTTAAATGTTTCAACGATAAAACTCTGTCCTTAACCAAATCCGACAGATGTTTTGTACTGGGAAACTTTTCCCTCCAAGTGTCAGTATTCAACTCATTCGGACAACTGCATTTATCTGTTAGATACACGACTATGTGCAGTTTGAGGCTTACTAATCCAGACTTGCCTGGTGGTTGATGAAGAAGTTAGGAGAATTTGGTATTCGGTAGGTTTGCGAAGCTTTGAGATTAACTCTATAGGGTTCTGCCCACCTGTCTTTCTTTTTCCGGTTCAAGTTCTCGGAAGTTGAAAACTCGTATGTTCTTTTCGGCAGAATAAGTCGATGACCAAGAGGATGCAGGCTTGACAAGGCCTCACTGAACCTATAGGCAAGGCAAGTCCAATATGTTGGCGATAAACTCCTAAAACAATTCTATGCTGACCACTGGGCATCATTAGGTTCGTCTATTCAGACTCGAAAGTTCGGTTGCATTCAGCTCAGCCTAATGATGTAGTGGTCGGATGGTTTCCACGTGTCTCGGATTTCGAGCAACGCTAGTTGAGCCCAACGTCGAGACAGTAGCAGAAAAGTTCAAAGAAAATTAGCGAAATAAACTCATTTGCAAACTAATTTGGTCTTGCGAGAGACTTACCTGGAGCCCACCTGAATCTCTTGTTGTGATGTCTCCAGGCAACTGAATGCGCTGCACCAGGCCACCACATGTTTCCGTTGCTACGATATTTGAGACATTGTGATGAGTGCAAATGAGTGTATTTCGCTAATTTCGTGCATAACATAAGGTTGATGGAAACCCGGGGACTGCGCCTACCTGATGAGCCCCAAGAAGGGCGAAACCGGTCGTGAGCTGTCGAATAATTTTCAGCCACCTTACGAGTAGTGTATTACGTATAGACATGTATCGCGATATATCGAATATCGTAGCAACTGAAACATGCGGCGGCCTGGTGCAGCACATTCAGTCGCCTGGATACATCATAAACGAGATATTCAGTTGGGTTCCAGGTGAGTCGCTCGCAAAACCGAATTTATTAGCAAATGAGTGAATTCCGCTAAGTTTAAAGGAAGGTTATTTGGAGACGTGGTATTCAATTTGACCATGAGCAGAAGTCACCATAGGATGCTTATGCCCCTATGGACAATGCTATTTCAAACAACTTCAGAGACTCTGGCGAGTCATAAGTGGTTGGCGAATGGAAACTGGTTTGGTGGAGGAATGTATTGCTCAACATGGGATGTGTGTCCGTTGGTGAGTATGTACAAGCAAGTGGATAGAATTAGTAATAATCAGGGGGTTACAGGTTCACGACAAGGTCAGAGATTGACCATGTTGATACCGTCTGAAAAGTACATGTTTGAACCGGACTGGACTGGAAACACGAAACCACAATGAAGGTTGAGTTTCGGGTACAGACTAAACAAAACTAACGTCTGATGTATTAAAAAATCCAGTGATCCACTATTTATTCAGATCGATGGAATATGCACAAATCGTTAAAGACTCTCGTTCATTTCAAGGCGTTCAAGGTTACAAGTTAGGACTATTGCGTACAATGTACTCGAAACCACAGACGCGTCCGAATAAAAGTGAGACAAATCCAAGAGCAGTTACCATACATTTGAACTAACCTATGATTTCCACTACAACTGATTTCGTATCTTGTCCAACCTTGCTTGTAGCCGTGCAAATGTATCGTCCAGCGTCCTCCTTCTTAGCGTCTGTGATGGTTAGTACACCGGTTCTGAAAAAAAATTTACATGCCAAATTGACCAAAAAACAGAGTAGAAATATTCAACAACAAAAAATAACCAAGTTATTCACGCTGTAGCACTCACGTGATGTCCACGCTTGTCCCAAGTCGGAATAGTCCGCCAACCTCACGTGACCACTCCAAGGTTGGTTGAGGATGTCCTTCAGCTGAGCACTGAACTGTGAAAGTTGCTCCTTCTCGCTCACGCACTTCAGTCTTGTCCAACCGAACCAGTGGGGGCACTAAAAAAAGGAAACAAAACGAATCTCAGACGCGAAACATGGTTGCGTAGTGGGAGTCTTCGATGACATTTCACATGGGATCGTCGAGGTGAAACAACGCATCCATTCTATCAAACCATCCACATTGCTAAGCTATTGACGGGGACAATAGAAACCGATCAAACGCGACTCACTGATGACGTCTAGCTCGTAGACCTTCGTCACATTTCCAGCTTCATTACGGGCCATGCATTGATATTCGCCTGGATCCTTATTGCTTGCGGCTGGAATTCGTAGAATGCGCTGGTCCTCTTCAAAAACATATTTGACAGGGGCAGTAAATAGATTCAGTGGTGCTCCATTTAAGTACCACGTCACAATGGGTGCCGGTGAACCCAGTACCGGACAGGGCAGTTCCACTTCCTGACCGAGACGCGCGACGAGTTTCTCACGGAATCGGACGAAATCAGGCGGGAATCGAGGTGCGGCTGTAACAGAAATACACCGATCGGAACAGGTATAAACAATGCCTAGACCAGTGACTTCCAACTTCTTTCTTTCTGGAGGAAAGCTAATGATCTCAGGGGTCTGGAGGCCCCAGAGAATAGCTACCAGATTAGTGGTGGTTAGACTGATCCACATGAGGTCAGAAATGCGTCACCTTTCAGGATTGTTGTCCACTTACTACCTGGGTATGTGCGTAACTCACGCAAGTCGTGTGACCAAGACATGTGTACGCACCTCAAGACGCACCTGAATCTACTTGGGGCCTTCCAGCAAAATTGTGCACTGATGAAAGCACAACATATGGGAGACGGATGCACTTTGTGTTCACACACCAAGGATAAACACGCCGCCTCCGAACGAGGTCCAAACATAGGGCTAGATTCAAACGGGGCTCTCTGGCCACACAAGGCTCTTAGCTGAAAAACGTTTGCGAGTGGAATAAAACTTTCTACGCCAAAATGTTGCATTTGGTTGCGCGTGCTGGAATAAGAAAAGCGCTATAATCTACTTTCACGTCTTCGCAGCTCACCAGATTTCATTGTCTACCCAAGCAATCATGCCCATGGCGGAGAAATTCTGATGGAATACTCTCCTAGCATCCCTTGGACCCCCGGACGCCTAGATTGGGTTGAAAAGTTTAAACTGGTACTCTGAACTCAATTGCCTGTCTATTTTAGTCCATCAAGGACACAAAAATTCAGTTCCGTTGTGCGAATACTGAGCGCCGATTTAAACGCACGTGCGGCAGGAAATCCAACTAGGGCGCTCATTATTCGCACAATGGAATTGAATTTTCGAAAGCTGTGACGTGTCTCTGATGCATATGAAGAGACAGGCAACTGAGTTCAGAGTACGAGTTCAAACGTTTGAATTCCATCTAGACATCCTGTGGTCTCAGCAATGCTGGGAAAGCATTTCGCCACACTTTTCTGCCAGGCTTATTATCACTTCAGGGGACAGTGGAATTTGGTGAGTTGCAAAAATATGGACGTAGATTAGAACGTTTGAATCCCATCTAGACATCCTGTGGTCTCAGCAATGCTGGGAAAGCATTTCGCCACACTTTTCTGCCAGGCTTATTATCACTTCAGGGGACAGTGGAATTTGGTGAGTTGCAAAAATATGGACGTAGATTAGGGCGATTTTTGGTGTGAGCATATTCACAACAAGGTCCAACATTTTGGCGCAGAAATTTTTATTGCACTCGCAAAGGTTTTGCAACTAAGACCATCGTGCGGCCAATGGGCCCCTAGAACTAGAGCGCCTAAGAAGTCTGAGCGAGCCTCTGCTCATCGCATCACCGTCCTATCCAGAGCACATCTGCAGTTGCCGCGCTAGTAAGACCCATCGCTCTTCAGGCCTTCTCTGCAATGTGGGCTTGTGTTGCCGCCTCCAGTTCAACTTGCGATGTTAGTCCACTGGATTCCTAGATTTGTGGCCATTGCCATTTCCTGTGGAGCGCTCACTGGTACTGCCCACTGTCTTTAGGCGGACCAGCAAAGTGTGAAATTCTATCCGAGCGTGAATAAACCCACCTAATTCACTCCACACAGGATTCGTCCTGCCATGCCTTTTTACGAAAACCGATTTGCTGTTGGTTGTTCGGTTAGGGAAGTGTGTCAGTTTTAATCCTGATACTGAGGTGCGCATTTGATGGTCAGCCCTATGCTAGCGGATGACAACCGGTAAGGAGCAGTCCGCTACGAGGTTATATAAACTTGAGATTAAGTAAGAGACCGCAGACAATCTAGTTGCTGTTGCTATCGCGTGTACCTCAAAGTTCATCATCATTGTCAGTTGTAATAACCTCGTACTTGTGGTACAGTGGTTCTAGCTGCCACAGTTTCGTTCCCCGATGATTTGGGGAGGTGGGATAGGTAGCTGCGCATTGGAGACGGGAGCTGATAAATTAGTGCGTCAATACACCACCGTCTGTGAACTTTTAAGTGGGGAATCGGGAATGGAGCTATGCGTTGAAGGCAACAGCTTGGATGCATGAGCGCCATTGAGGGCGCGACTGGGCCATCGGTATGACCCATCTTGGGGTCTCCATCCAGGAAGACGATAATGACCAGCGCAGCTGAGTTTGTTGGTAATGGCTGTTGTACTTCGCTGCCAAGTCATTGTTTGACCGCCTCAAAGTTGGTCCACAAGCAACATCATTTTTAGTCATAAGTCGTTTTTAGATGACTCCCACAGAATTTCCAATATTCAGTTTTCTTAGACAGCTTAGTCCTTTTGGAAACAGAATCGCTAATTTCGCCCTTTTTATGCGCCTCTTATATAAAATTAGCAGGGTTTATCAACCGAGCCGGCATACTTCTGAAAATCTTTGAATGTCTGAAGAACAGAAAGCGAGAAATGTAAGACCTAAAAATGACAAGCGTTCTAATAGTTGAAGTGTGCCACATTTTTCTTGAACCCAGCAAAGAAAAGAACATCGTTTACTTCAACTAAGTGGCACCATTTTAAACTATAAACTTTTTAAATGTCACTCTCCGTGTGCTACTCATGAGTAGCTTCCGTGCGACGGGACAGAAAAATGTGAAGAGGGAAGCTCCCTGTGATGTAGTAAGAGGAATGTTAATCAGTTCGCGAACCATTGCGGTGTACTTTATGTGCAACAATAGCTTTGTCAGTGACCCTAGCAAGCGCTGGTTTTTGTCCTGAAGGATATGCGCATCGTAACTCACCGATCACCGACAATTGAAAACTGTGGCTATCTTCGCCTGCACGATTTTTGGCAATACAGCGGTACGTTCCATCTTCTGCTACAGTAGGCCGAACCACCGTCAGACTTTGACCTTGGTCGTGGATAACAAAATAGTCGCTATCCCCTGACATCAACACTGGAGCACCGTCCTTTGTCCACGTGATTTCTGGATCAGTTTGGTTAATATTTCGCAAGAGGCAGTAGAACGTGATTGGAACATACTCCTTCGTTCTGTGCTCTTCTGGAGAAACACCTCGCTTGATTATCATTGGAGGTACTGAAGCAAAAAAGGATGCAAATGAGGCGAAAGTAGCCAGAATCGGATCCTAAATGCGGAGGTAAATCGGACATCATCCAGTGGTTCTCACCGGTTATTCCCGAAAAAACCACGTCTTTCCATTCTAACAGTCATAACAAATTTGTGGTCCTGGTATAGCCAAAATAGACTAAAGTCCTTGCAATGATGAATTTTCCGTGATGAATTTTCGGTCGAGAAGCAACAATAAGTCGATGAAAGAAGCAGGATAACTCTTCTAAGTGTATGAGACAGTAATTTTCAACAACAAAAGGGACACACAAGCTATTCAAAATGTGTCGTTGTTGATTTCTTCTCTGTGCTTGGAGGTCAAAAGTTTCAGCCCTCAAATCGGCATTCAAGACATGGTACATTTGGAGCATACCTATCTTGTTTTAATACGAAGAACGAGTTGATTGGGATACTGTATAGAATGCAAGTTCATCTCAACTGAAAGTGGCATACGTGCGTTTGGCGGAAAGGGAGGTCTGAACGATTGTCATGAGCATCAGAGTACGAATTGGGCTTTTATTGGTTTCAGCTAAGCTCCATCTGCACTGCATGTGTCTAGTCTCGAACCCGTGGACAATGTTCGGTCTCAGTTCACCGAGCTACTGTGGATCGGTGGCTTATGACAACTGGCTCCCTTGTGGTTGGTCTGCTTGCGCACAGGCATGGAACGCTTTCCACATCAGGGTCATCAGTTTTCGAGTGAAGTCTTTGTACAGCCACAAATTTCTAAATTGAGTCGCTCCCTCCATACTCATCCACTCTGTTTTGATATTTTATCGGATCTAGCGGATTCGTTATTCCAAAGTTCGAACCGAAGCGCACAGAGTTCGATGAGCCACAGTAGGGGCAAAGTAGCATGCATACATATATACATGCATATAAATGCACATCAATTTGGTTTTCACATGCGACTCGACTGAATCTCTCGTTTATGATATTCCACAACTGAGTGGGCTGCTCAAAGACCGCGTCATGTGAAAATATACCGCTATATCTCGTACATGGTACCAACTGAAACATGAGGCGGCCTGGTGCAGCACATTCAATTGCTTAGGAAAGCCATAAAAGAGAGATACAGCTGGGTTTCAGGCGAGTCACCCGTGAAAACCAAATTGATGTACAAATGAGTGTATTTGTCGGAATCTGTCCAATTTGGGTTCAAGTAGAACACAAGGTTGACTGAAGCTCGGGGACTGCGCCTACCTGATGAGCCCCAAGAAGGACGAAACCGATCGTGGGCTGTCGAAGCGTTTTCAGCAACCTTGTGAATAGTTTCTAGGTTGTTGACCACTTCGCAAAAAGTTATGAAAAACATTACTTGGTAAGGTTATAACTATTCACTTGTCAGACAACTGGCTGAATAATTCATTAGCTGGTTAGACCAAGAAATTCTATATATGAGGTATGTTGGATTTTTGATGGTCTGTAAAAAAGGTCGATGATCATCAGTTTGAGGACAAAAGAGCCGATACAAATTTCGCACAAACTTCGTTACAAAAATCTTCGCAGTCGATACAAACTTCCACTGAAAAAGCCATCAACAAACACATCGAATTGATCCAATCTACCGGCCACTGCAAACAAAAGAATTACGGAACTACAGAACGCAGAGGCGGATAAAGTCAAAAGAAAAAAGCAATCAGGCTGAAGCAAGGAATTTACCAAAAATAGAAGCCGCCCTCACAACCAGCCAGATTCAAGGAAGGAAGACTACAACGAAACATAAACCGGGAAAGGACCAACTGTAAACAGACCCAAAGCACCCCAAAGCAGCCATCCAAAAAACCAATGGAATAAGGGGCATACAGACCACAACGCAGCAAAAAATCACGGTCGGTCCTACAATAATGCAACAGAAGGTATATACCAACCAGCCAATCACATGACGGGATATTAGATACTCTTCAGAAACTACATTAACGCAGCTAGGCACGGAGAAAACACCCGTTCATTTGCGCACTGACGATGTCTACCCGACTGGGGAAGAAACGCTTGTAAGCCTATTGCCAAGCTCGGCGAACAGATCAACTCCCATCTGATCAACCACTAGTAAACGTCGCAGAAAGAACGATTAGAAACAAATTGTTTGAAAAATCGTGCTGTTGGTCTAATCTCCAATAGTCTGGAGCCAATACGCTAAAATTAAGTTTCCATTGTTGCTAGTTTCGCTGACCGCTATTGGTGTACCTAAATTGATCGTCGTTAGTACACTTCCTTATGTGTTTGTGGACACAGTCATCTCAGAGGTGATTATTCTAATCAGTCCTTTGAAGCCTCCGTTTGATTAGTTCATCCAGTCTGGCTGTTCAGAGGATAACGGTACGTATAGGTGGCAGTGCAGCGAATTGAGCATTAGTTCTCAAAGTACACAAACAGACATGGATAACTACTCACCAATCACCGACACGTTGAACTTCTTCTCAATGGTTCCACCACCATTGCTTGCAGTGCACGTGTATTCACCTTTGTCCTTCAGTTGAATATTGGAAATTTGCAATATCTGATCACCACTGAGGATGGCTATGTTTGAGCGCTCAGAGCCACCGAACGGGGAGCCAATTACCTTGGGCCTAAGAATCTCCACATCACGTTTGAACCAGGAAAATCGAGGTCTTGGTTCACCCGTAGCCTCGCATTGAAGCTGGATTGTTTCGTTCTGAACAGCTTGCACGTGAATTCGTCTTGTGGCATCCACAAACTTTGGTCGCACTGTTGAGAGAAGTTTGTGAATTACAAACAGGTGATACACAACCAACGAACTCACGTCAAAGGGCTACAAACAGCAAGCAAACAGAGTTGGGATTCGTATATATGTTACAATCGTCAAATCCCATTGGCTAAACTCCTATTAAGCATAGCCACTCTATCGTTCCACTCAAGCGTACTTACCATAAACCAGTACATTGAAAATCTGAGTAGATTTCCCCACCTCATTTTGTGCGTGACAGATATATTCGCCACCATCTCGAGGTTGAACTTGGGGCACAGTCAGCTTGCTTCCATCGGCTGATATTTGGATATCTGGACCACTCACTACTGGAACCCCACGTCTCTCCCACTTGATCTGCGGTGCAGGATCGATTCCCTCCATCAAGGTGCAGTCCAATGAACGCGTTTGATTGACAAACCAATGCACTTCTGGTTGGACGTTCGATGTGTCGAAAGTCGGTGGAACTGAAGAGGAGGTGAAAAACGAATGGGAGCCAGGAATCGATCAGTCTTTTGTCTGGTTCGAGTCTGATTTCACGACTCATTAAACAATCGGTTTACCACACAAAATTCGAAGAGTAACAGTTTCGCGTACTGAGTGATTCTCGTCCACACATACGAGAAACAGCCTCACAGAGTTTCTGTTGGAAGTTATTCTCAAATGAATCAATCAGTCACTGAGCAGAGTATGCTCTGTTAGAATTTAATTTCCATAGTCTGAGGGATTCGTTTGAACATGATTTGGATTTGGTACTCATGCGCTTAAGTCGCGGAACAATTTTGTTCGCCTCAACATCACAAGAGGGACTAATCCCTCATCGTTGAAAAAGCATTCACAAAGCCTCCTATTCAAACCATTCAGGAACTAAGGAAATAGATCCAAGGAACTAGCTGTCAGCTTAAGAAATGTTAATGAAAAGCTTCAGAGACCGGAAATCATAATAAAAATCGTTCATCTTTAACACCCTTTCGGTGCACAGCTGTCATGCTAGCCGAAGGGAGCACGAGGGATGGGATACTGTCTGGTTGCCCAAGCCTAGACAGGGGAAGCCGAGAGACAGAGGTCGGGTTAGAACCGCGGACCTTCCGGTCAGTAAATCTGCGCTCTAACAACTGAGCCATCTCGCTCCCCGAAAATACCGTGACACAAATTGTCGAGTTTCTTGCGCAAATGTTTAGACTTACCCCTTACGCGAACAATATACTCCATGATGTCCCAGCCGACAGCGTTGCTCGCGTTACACTGATACGTACCGCTGTCTGATTTTCTCGTACGGAAGAAGGCCAGAGTTTGTCGGTCCTGGTGTGCAACAAGCAAAAAAGCATATAGTGCGTCTTCAGACTATTGGTACAAACCGTACAAACACGAATAATTGAAGACGTATTGTCACCGCACACTATTCAGTGATAATCCATCTGAGGAGATACTCCTTTTGGAGATAGATGGATCGATTTCCGAGCGAGAGTAAACGGGTCAAGATCCTGAGGATCTTAGTCTAGATCCTCAGGATGGAAATCAAACAACCAGGAGAGGAGGATTTTGAAGTAAGGAAGGTGAAGAGACCTGGGAGGGCCTCTCCTGCTGTCTGAATATTGGTAACTAGGGTGTGTTAATTGACTGTTGATCAGGTATTGGTTGATCTGTTCGCTGAGTTTGGCAATCGACTTGCGAACGTCTTGCCATCATGTGAAGAGATATCGTCGCGCAACCGCTCGCTGACCAAGAAATTTCCGATCGTTTGTCATCAACCATCTTGCTATTGTTGAAAGCAATAAACATGGGTCATTGCTATGCTCTTTTTAGACTAAACTATCGTCACCACCGCCGGATCAGCATTTGAAATGTCTTCATTTGGTCGACTCGGAGTTGGGCAATATAGGTTTTTCAAGCTTCTAACTCCGCATGATGACATTAAGTCATTTTAACGAATACAACGTGCCCAAATAGCGCTGCTTCTAACAAATAGAGTTTGGTATATTCCAGAATAACACTTGAAAACTACAGTCTTCCAAGTTGAATTTGGTCGCGCTTATGAGGTTGGGGGCTGGGGGCCCAAGGTGTGCCGTATAGTCCTTACGAGGCGTCGGATACCTTTGCTATTCGCAAATAAAGTACAAGGTTCGTTGCATGCAGTGTTTTGTTACGTGAAGGTAGTTTTGTCAACTCGATTTGATCGTCCATTCACCATAAATATCTGTTGCTATCCCTGAGCTCACCTACTACGCACACCTCAGCCAACAGGTCACTTGTGTTCTGGTCCACAATCGGCACACATTTGTATCACTTACCTGGGAGACTACCGCATGTCTTGGCATAGTATTTTCGTTCCATCCGGAACCAGAATCTCCTACTTTTGAGAACTGGATCCTCGGGGGCGGTGATCCGTTGGCTGGACAAGGAAGGACCAACTCATCGCCTTCGCGTATCGTATAGTCTGTGCGCACGCGTCCACGATCGACGCGCGCTGGGGCTACAAAAAGACGGTTATGAATGAGATGGACAAAATGCAAGTTGATGCATCGAAGTGAGCAAAAAACAGGCTAATTTTTCGTTCGAAAATCTGATTCCTAAAAGATAATTCGTTGAAATGACTTCCAAAGTACAGTCATGCAACAGCAATTGGGGCAAGCAGAGAAATAAGGTGTGGTCTTTTTTCTTGAACGAACAGCACTCACAAGATTGCTTAAGACTCTATTCTAGGCTAGATATTTATGGCGGTGGTTGAAAGAAAGATTTTGCTATGGAGCGTGGACCATGTACAATGAAGTGTTGTTTCAGAGGTTATGCTCTTTGTGGGTGTGCTGTCCAATTAATTATGTAAGTCAAATCCTACGAAATGCGAACATTCCGTCCTCGTTGAGGATGGAACACTGCGGGTACTTCTAGAAGCAGTGTGCCATTCAACAGTGGAAGCTGATGGAGTTCTTACCTAGACAGGAGGTAGCACGTCCTGTCTTTAAGACCACGTGACCGTGTGTTCCGGATAAACGTGAGATGCGTATGACTAATGAATCTCAATAAGTGTATGCCGGTTGTAAATTAGTTATCGGGTTTTCAAATAGAGTTTATCCCACTTTCACGGCCGAATCTAGGTTGAAAAATATCCCGATTACCCAGAATCACCAGGCAAATGTGAGTTTTGGGGGTATTAAGTATCCTGGATAGCCGTCCTCTTCAAAGAGGCATAGGAACTGGAAGAGAATACTTGCTCTAAGCAGACTGAAAAGCATCTCCGGTATGAACAGAAAGGTCGGAGTTCATGTATCCACTTATTTGTCGTTTTTTCTCAAGTTTTCTGGAAAGATTTCACCCTTCGCTCCTGTTGCTGACTACATAGGTTCATCAGCGGGAATATATAGCAGAGCCGGATACATGGATTTATAACCGGCAATCTTTCTTTGGATGGTTGTAGGCACTGTGTACCGTAACTTTAAAAAAGCTAACTTTGAAAGTTTTGCTCTGGGTGGGTGGAGACTGTGTCCAAAGGCTGCATGAAAAGAACATGGCCTGATAATTTTCAAAATACTCTCATTTGCAAATTTGGTTTTGTTGGAAGACGAATGAACCTCAACTGAATCTCTCGTTTACGGTGATCCCTGTCAGCTCAATGTGATTCGCAAGAACGCCTCGTATTTCAGATGGGTTCAAGTAGAACATAAGGTTGACAGGCGACTTCGCCTACGTTGTGAGCCCTAAGGAGGGTGAAACCGGTTGTGGGCTGTCCAAGACTTTTCAGAAACTTGATGAGTAGTATGCATAATCTAAAAGCATTCAGCTTGGTATTTATGCGAACGAAGAACTCCCGATTACAATAGGATGCATGCACGAGGATTGTCCGGAGGCCAGCCGTCCCTAATAGCCGAACGTCACATCAATTGGACAGATGTGTCACGTGCGGGCTACGGATCAAACGAAGGCATGTCCTGATTGCTAGCCAATCTGGCTAGAGCAGCCTCAGCTCGACGCTCCTCGTCCCCTCACGGAGATTCCAGCACGACCTTGTGGAACATTCTGTGATTACCCTATAAATGCAGTTGTAATAGTCCTCCATAGTCTGTATAGAGGGCTGTCTGAAGCCATCGTGCCTTTTGATATACCATAGCGGGCGGAGCAGGAAGCAAAGGGACTGGTACAGACTTGCACGATTGTTCAGCAAACCACAGTAAACATGTGCTTAAATCTTCATTTTCAGTAGCACATATTTGCATTGGGGAGATTGTACTCCAAGTGGCTTACTTTCATTGATTCAGTGAAACGTTTATCTCCCAGATCAATGGCTTCTGAATGGGTGCCCATTACCTTCACCCCAGCTGGACAGATACCAAATAAATACACTCATTTACAAATCAATTTAGTTTTCACGACAGAATCAACTGAATCTCTCGTTTATGGTATTGTTCAACTGAATGTGCTGCACCCAGGCCGCCTCATGTTTCAGTTGGTACGATATTCGAGATATCGTAGTATATTTTCATAAAGGAAACTACTCACAAATTTGCTGAAAACTCTTCGACAGCCCACGATCGGTCGTGGATGACATGCGCAGCTTCTCCCTCTAGTGCAAAAAATTAGGACCGAGGCAATTCTCTCTGGTTTTGAAAACCAATAATTTTCAATTTTCGTAACCGCCCAGAGCCATGTAGCTGAAGTTTGACAGTACCGAAGAAACCCTGTATGGGATTCGGTGGAACTACATTCATGAGTGAACCTATCCTCAGGAGAAGTGCGCGTTGACACTGTGAATTACATGACTTTGTCCCGATGTGTGTGTGTCACTGGAAGTCGTTTTTTGTTCCTCCTACGGTGTAACTGATTTGGTTTGGTGAGATTGCTAAAACATACATACACAAGACACATTATCCTCACTTGCATCGATCGTATCTGACTCGGTCAAACTGGAGAGTAGGTTGACATTTTCAGGCGACAATCGGGACTGTAAAAACTACTAATTGATACGACGCTACTCTAGAACAGCTCAGTTTCGCGATCGCAGTTTGAAAATGAATGTCTTTCTGTACATGAAAAATCACTCGTTAACGAATTGATTCAATGATAGCGTGATGCTCAAAAGAGTCGTCCGTTTCGCAACCGAAAAGGCTGAACAAAATGCGCCTCATTTTTTGGTTAATCTGATCCCCAATATATCGAAGTATCTTTTCTCAGAGCTTCCATCGATGACATCGTGGAAGTAAAAAAATAATCCATTCCTTCATCACTTTGACCATCGAGAAAACTGGAACACTAGAATAAGTAGAGAGATACTCAAGAGGTTATCGCGGAAAAGTGATTCTTGTCCAGCCATGTGGATCCCAGAATAACAAATGAATCGAATTCGTCTAGCTAGTAAGTAAGTACTTGAGCTATCAGTTGGTTATCGGTCCCCTTCGTTTGAGTGTAACACACAAGAGCTCAATTGTCTTGTTTGCTTTTATTGGGTCCGGACGGTCCATATTAAGTGGCATTTGGGGAATTCTGGTCGGCCCATTAGCCTATCATCATTTTTGCTAGCCTTAATTAACTCGCTCGACCTAGTTAGCTCATAACACAGGAAGCATCACCGCGAGATGCACTTTCGTAGTGGTCCGCAGTCTTTCAAATGGTGGCAATTCTCCTTGTTACTTCCCCGCCAACATTTGACAACCTTCGACTCATGGCCGGTGGGTCATCCACTGACTGATATGGAGAGGGCGGTTGGGACTCCATGTTCGAGCAGATGCTGCCCTAAGTTTACCGCCTAATGGAAGGATTCAACATGTAATAATTTTTCCAAGCGTGTGCCACGCTACCTGACCGGGAAGTCCTGACTGGCGGGTCAATCGATCGTCACAACCAGGACAGTTACTGGGTCGTCGTTCGATGGATCGGGCACACCAATCACATCGCTCAAGTGTGAACACGTTCGCCTGTTCAGATGTGAAAATTCAGATGCATCCAACGTGCGTTGGTGGAGCAGTGGTTACGCGCACGCCTCGCGTGTCAGATGTCCGGGGTTCAGATCCCGGCACGGCTATTGGATATGAACTGCTGATTAGTTCTAGTAAGAGCGAAACTCGAGTCCACTGCATCCCTTTGGCGTGGACTCACCGGAATAATTACGCCAGAACAGGAACGCAACCGTTCAAACGAGTGGTGTGAGTATGGACAATCTTTCCACAGTTGTTTTACAAACGAAGCGTTATACGACTGACGCACTCATCAGCATTACTTAGGTTTAGGCTGGAATCATGTGGAGACGAAAGGTGATTCATTATCCTTGTATGAAATGGTGAGTATGTGGGCGGAAAATATCCATCAAAAATCACTTTGTTTTAATAGAATTTTTTTAGATTGCAGGCAAAACCTGTCTATTCCAAACAACCGTTTCATTCTTGTGTGGAATCACAGGCATTGCACATCACACAGATGTTTGTGGATATTTGAACTCACGGCCTTCCAGTCATTAGTCCAGTCATCGTAAGAATTGGTGAGAATTACACTGCTTGGGTTCCCAGTGTGGACAAAACAACTTTAGAAACTAATAAAAACGCTTTACCTCCAACGACGACGTCAGTGTTGATCTCGATTTGCCCAAATGGATTCCTTGCGACGCAGCGGTAGCGACCGGCATCCGATGGCTGCATAGCGATGATTTCCAGTTGCCGATCCTGATTGATGAGACGGTACCTGAAGATTACAATAGAACTATTGGAGTTAACGGGAGATTACAGCTAGAATGCATAGGGTCTTCGAACTATGTGTTCCATACTGCTTGGTGCCCCGATATTCATTCTAGCCACATTTTGGCTCAACGCTTCGGTCTGCTTCAAACAAGAAAACGAAGTCACTTAGAAGGCCCTGACGTCTGCTGGTCTGTCAAATGTTTTGAATTGTACACGGATCGGAAGCAGTTTCAAAAGTGGGACACAGTGAGGTCGGCAGTTGGTGTACGGACTTTGTGTAGTCACATCATCTAATACTGGACTGAGAGTGCGGTTGAAAATATGATCTGTGGAGTTAGTATAAAAATCTTGGTTAACCAGCAAGGTTCGACGCCGGATTTACGACTCCCACAGGTGAACAAAACATATATTCTAGATAGGTAATGACGACTCACCTGTATGGGAGCTGGTCCAACGGAACTCCATCCTTATACCACGTGATCTTCGGGACCGGATTACCAGATACGAGACATTCAAGTAACGCGCTCCCACCAACCGTCCGCTCCAGGCTGTATTGAAGCTGCCCATCACTGTCAAGACGTGGTGCGTCTGTTTGAAATTCACAGTATGCGGGAGAAACTAGTCAAGACGTCATAAGTTCGACAACGGAAAACACAACTTCGATCAAAATATCATTTTTCACTATTAATCGAACCACGAAATTAAACTAAAAGTGGTGGTTCATGAGGGACGGTAACAGTATGCGCAAGGTCATTCACCAGATTAGTACCTCTTTCCGGGAGGACAGCCTTTCAGACAGACAGTGTCATTTGATCACCCAGGCTTTCGAGCATTTTGAAATCACGACTATTAATCGAACCACGAAATTAAGCTAAAAATGGTGGTTCATGAGGGACGGTAACAGTACGCGCAAGGTCATTCAACAGATCAGCACCTCTTTCCGGGAAGCCAGCCTTTCTGACAGACATAGTGTCATTTGAACACCCAGGCTTTCGAGCATTTTGAAATCAGGAGCAAGACACTTACACGTCACTTTCACATCGAACGTCTTTGAGGTCTGTCCGTACTCACTGCTCACCAGACAGGCATACCGACCGCTGTCATGTTCTGCCACTTCGGGTAACCGCAAGTGTATTTGATCTTCACTGATCGAATAACGACTGAGGTCGATAGGTTTGCCGTCCCTCGTCCACGTGATCTTTGGTGGTGGGTGACCGCTGGCGACGCAGAACAATGCCAAAGCCGAACCCAACGACACGCTTTGCTCACCTTCCGGTGTGGAGAATCTGATTGTCGGTGGCGCTGTTCGAAAGAAAGGGCAAAATGTTGGAAAGACTGTCGAAAAGCGTGCTAACAACGGAGAGATCAAGTCGTTTTGTTTAAATTGACATTTAAATGAAAGCATCTCCGAAACCATCGAGTGCATCCACAGGAGATTTTGTATTTTTTCTTTCCTTGATTTGTTTCAATATTACTAACAGGCAACGTCAACATTAGATGGAATTGCGCAGCGCATTTGAAGTCGCAACTTATCCATTGTTCTAAAATTGTACCATGGAATAAAAGAAATGAGGAATTCCTGAGCAAAAAAGTTCAGAAAAGTCAGAAATGGGGCTAGCAACCAAATATGAAATGCAGGGTCACATATTTGTTTATTAACAGAGTGGGAAGATTGGTCATTTGTTCGAATATCTTCATCTCTCATGTATCAATTTCCAGGAAATTCCAGCGGATTTTATCGATTTTTTGCTTGCATTTTCAATTTTATCCATCATACTAAAATCTCCCTTCTACGGAGAGTTCTGACTTCACATGACCACTGTTCATCACCAAGGGACTGATTTCTGGATACCAGAAAAACGCTTAGCTTAACCTGACAGGCCTAGAAGTTCGCATCTGATCGAGAGAGATGACGCGTTGTTATCTATCTTTCTTTGATAATATTGCTCAATCGGATTTCAGAAATGATAAAACTGCCAGCTCCATGCCAATCACCTAATTTCATCTAGCTCTTAGAGCAACGGTTAACTCGAATGGGCAAGTTCTTCCGTTCTCAATAGACGCCTGTCTTTGAGGACCCTATTCTGGAAGATCTCAGTAGCAGCCTTATGAATGGCACAGGGTAGTTTTTGAACTTCAGTAGCACTTGAAATTATTGTTAATCAACTACCGTATTGACCGTCAAGAGGTTGTATTTATCAAGTGTATGCCTAGTTAAATCACTATATGATGGTGTGTGCATTGTTTATTCGATGATAGAATACCTCCCAGGTCAACTGCTTCAAAGAGCATACTGTCTTTGATGGTGTTTCGCACATTGGATTGGCTCCTTTCTTCTTTCTTCTACCTAAATGGTCGAGAGCCACAGTTCAAGTGTCATTGAGTACAGACACGAAACGCAGTCTGCCAGATTAGATTGCTCTGTTCTTGGAAGCAACTCTCTTGGTAGGTGGAATCATGATGAAGGTACTGATTAACCTTACTTGTTCTTTTCTTGGAACTGCTTTCCCTTTGGAGGGAGTGCTGTGTCCAGGAGGATAAGAAAATCCAGGTACACAACATCCTGCTGATCGTTTATGAGTTTTCGTCAAAGTATACCGATCGAGTCTGTCTGTTTGATCACAGGTGAAAGAGATTGTTAGAAGATAATTCATGGGTCTTGAAGAACTTTTGTAGAATCTGGAGCAGAATGTTCACTTAAACTTTATCTATTACTCAAGTTTATCACCATAACTCCCAGAATGTCAATGAAAAAAGTACGGTGCTTTCGCTAAACATTCCTAATTCTTTCTGCACAAAGTTGCAATTCCATGACTTAGAACAAAACCCGGTTTCACTCGTGCACTGCATGATTCGTCTCAACCGGTCGCATGGTTTGTGCGTTGGGCGAAGCAGTTTCATCTTTATGATGTATACTTCCTAACTGATCTCCACACTCTGCTCAAGAGACTGGTGACAGTGAAAGTTTGGCCAGCTCACCAGTGGGCTTATATCCAAGACATAGAAGACGTCAGTGTTAAGTCGCCTCCGGGAGACGCGAAATGTCGTGGCGAAATCGCTCCCGAGTGATTGGATAAAAAGGTCTGTCCATGGTGCTCTGAATATACATGGTATACACACTCAGCCAGGTAACTCAAGTAACTTGTAAACACTTAGGCGACAGGTCTCATGAGTGTTCACTAGTCAAGTCCAAAACCGGAGTTGGGATTCAAGGAAGGGAGGTGAAGGTTTAGATTGCGCTGTGTGACGGGGTCATCCGGTTCTTCCAATGCTTTCAACTTCTTGAATAAATTACAGTCAGCCGACCCCATTCTGTTACTTGTTTTCATTGTTCCGCTATATCAGACTGTTAAATTTTTATCCAGAACCTTTTGACGTAGGGAGATTTTGCTCGCAAGCACACAGACATTACAGTTACCTGGTTCGTAAAGATCATCTCGTCTCAGAAGCTGTTGGCTTACCATTTAGGCTGGCAAAACCTCGCATGATTCCGATAACCCAAGTCAGAAGATGTCAAAACTAGCAGTTTTCTGTTTGAAGACTGTTGGCTCCAAAGTGTTTGATTCGAACTTTCATTTAGATCTTGATTAGTTCTAGCATTGATCAAAGGAGCCATCAAATATGTGGTGCTTTTTTATTGTGACGAGTCAGGCCATCCATCACCCGCAACAATGCGTCCGATTTGGGCAAGAAGTGGCCGTCGGCAATGTGACTTGGAGTTTGAAAGGACCAGCCAGCTTGATATGCCAGAGTTTTTTTTCACGACACTCCACTAAGTACTGGTTGTATCTGGCTAGAAAGCTCCTCAATGTGTAGTTAGGTATGACAAGTGGAAAGAAATTCGCACCTGCTCCCAACTCTACATGTGAAAATCGAAAGATGTTCCTCCTGGGTATTTTCATGTTTACGAAGGGGAAACGTTGTCTTTCGAAGGAGACTGTTAAGCAAAGGTGACAGCTACAGCTGAATGACTTTATTCAATATTCGAGGATCTAATATCATTCCAGATTTCCTGCTTTAAAAGTACATTTCGCATGAAGATACTGTCCCGCTCGATTGACCTTTTTTGGCGAAGCGACCTCTAGCACATAAACTCCGGAATTATTGAACTGAAAAAGTCTCCTGGAAACGGGATCACAAAGTCCGCTGCTTTTTGGAATAGATACAAGGTCATTTGATCAGTCCTTTAATAGTGAAAGAAGGATACGGCGTTCTCCTTCTTTGTTTCGGTGTGAATTCCGACCAATGCATATAAGAGAAAATCTCGATACCGGATACACTTAATGTCATTCAGAGGTCAGGAGCAGCTTAAAGCAATACGTGCATAACAATACAGAAGGCTGGGAGGCACGAGGATTCATTTATGTTTAGAAAACAAAGGTGTTAATTCTACTGGTCGTCCTTTTTCTTATGAGTTTTCAAAACCCAACAGTTCGCATTCACATACAAACGAGCTGACAAAAGTTACTTTGCCACGTAATTGAATTGTTTGGCGGAAGTCTCCCTCTTGAGTAGTATCTTTCTAGGGAGAAGGGGTACTACACTTGAACTACCCCTTTCGAATAGTTTATAAAAATATTTACTTTAAATTCGTAGCCCTATTCTAGACTACCACGTGTTTCGTTTCGCCTTCAAACGAGATAATTAGCAGGATTTCAAAAAAAGGTATGGAAAAAGACCATCAAAGATCACTTTTACTTCAGTGAGAGACACTAAGAAGGTTAGTTTGGATCAGTACCTAGGATCGGCGTTGAAGAATAACGAAAATTGTTCAAATCAACGATGAGATTTGTGACAGAAACAAAGGCATCTTTCAACTGTCTTGAGATTTATCCGAATATTGGTTAATCTAGTCACATGCGCACATTCTCTATTCATACTTTTTCCAACCTAATTTCGAGTTTCAGTTGTCAGCGTTTGTGCAAAACTTGTATGTGGGTGCAAGCAGATGCAAGCAGCGATCACAATCATATCTGAAACCATGACAAATGTCAATTACAGTCTTACTGTCCATACAAACGTGACCAAGACAGGCGAATCAGACTAGGTGCGGACGCAGTTTGGGCAACGAAACCAAACACCCGAACTTTGGAAGTCGATAGATGATGGTGGTTGAAGGAACGCAAGATACTAGAAAGCGCCAGCGTGTGATTCAGAAAGTGTTTTCTACAGCCTGGTACATTCACAGGTGGATGTCTTGAATTGTGGAACAGAGGGAAGCAATTTAACCAATTTACAATGACGCTTGTGGCTGTTCAGTCGCTATTACAAAACCACGCAGTGCTTCGTGTTTCAGGGCGAAACACCTAGTAACGATCCATAAGCTGCCAAAGTTGTTGAATCTCTCCCTAACCTGGAAAAACTGACTGTTAATCAACTTGTACCGGCTGATAACAAGGTGGAGTAGCAGTCGTGAGTGCCCGACCACTAATCTTGGTCCACGAGGTGTTAGACGGGCTGACGTAAATTTTGTTCCCAATATCCCAGAAGCTTCTGAAGGGCTTTTTGTTCACGCCGCTGTTTTCTACGTGTCTAGGCATGCATTGGAAGTGAAGTGAAGTCCGAAGGCATCACCTTTAGAGCGTGCAGGTTTTACGGTACTCGAGGTGACACATGGTGTAAGTTCGGCATTTCTGTCTGGGTGTTGAGTTTCTTCAACTGGTAGAACTTTTCAGACCCCACGACCCCAGAACCATCCGTTTGAATGATTAATGAATTGCCTCCAACCCATACTGAATGCTGAGAGAAAAGGAACTTTCGAAGGGTATTTGCCTTTAATCTACAAACGACTTCCAATCAGGAAAAGAACCGTAGTCCGTCGCTGTACGGACCTTCTGTGAATTGTATCTGAGTATTCAACACATCGCAGTTGTAGACTGTGCTATACAATTCTCTGTTTGTTGAGACAAATTTTTCAATCATGTCAAAGATCTCCACGCTGGGACGAAAGTCTGCGTGCGGGCACTTGTAGTGGGTCTGCCGATCTACCGAACCAACTGTTCAGCGAACTGTTGAGCCAACTGTTGGGCGAGATAGCCCAAGTGGTTAGAACGCAAATTTACTGGCCGGAATGTCCGTGGTTCGAACCCGACCTCCACCTCTCGACTTCCCCTGTCTAGGCTTGGGCAACCTGGCAGTATCCCAGCCCTCGTGCAACCTTCGGGTGGCATGACAGTTAGGCACCGAAAGGGTGCTACAGCTGAACGACTACTACTGTTCAACCCAAACTCAAGTCCAAAGCCCGGTAAGCAACCACTGAAGAATGACAACAGAACACTATACTTACAAAGCCATATTCACATTCAAAGGTATGCGGAAGGGGCGGGGTTGAAAATGGGTTACATAAAAAGAGTACACCTATAGACTACCAGGAAATCACCATCCAAAGGGTCCGAGAAAATTTCCACCATGGCCTCCCCATCCAGCACCCGGAAATCCATCACCAAACATGTTGTTTCTTGGGCCAACAAAAACAGAGTTCATTGCGAACGGATCATAGCCCCCGACTGGATACTGTGGAAACGCCCATGGCTGACTGTAAGTTGTAAGCGGGACAGTTTTGGGAGGCTTGTCATTGAATTGTTCGTTTGTCACCGCACCGTACGCATCCGTATTGACCTTGCCATTTTTCATGGTTGTTTTTTTCGAAAATGTATACGTGACCGCTGTTCCGGTAACTTTGTTCTGGCTTTTGGCATTTGACGATTTCGGTTTGGTTTGACTGTTTATCCAGTTAGAAAGCCAGTTGTCACCCGTCGTTGCTGACTCGAACAAAAACGGTTGCTGAAACACAGGCCAGTCGAATGTGGATTGTTGAGTAGTTACTGGTTTATTCTTGTTCTTGGTTTTCATTGATGCTGCCTCCAACTTGACATCATGGTCGATTGTCTTATCATGTCTCAAAGCAGGCCATGATCTGGGGTATTCGTAGTGTTTGTGGTGATTTTGTGGATCGTTCTGCTGAGGACGGCGTTGACCGAAATGCGGTTGCGGTTCCTGTTGGGCCCATACTGGCGTATCCCAAAAACCTGGTCCCTGGAACATCGGATTCGGTGACTCGAAGCCTTTGAACTCTCCAAAAACGGGACTTTTGAAGTTGGAGACAATATCGAAACCATTCTTCCCATCAGTATGCCAACGAAACCATTTGATGTTAGAGTATGGGTACGCAGTTACCGAGTTGGCGATTAGAACAAAACCCAGAAAAACCTTAGGCAGGAATTCAGACATTGGGTACATGTAAATGACCCGGTTCAATGCTCAATCATAGTTTATAACAGATGCACTCCACTCTAAGCCACCAGTTGATTAGACGCGCAAATTGATCACGTGCTAGCGCGTTTGTTAGGAGTGCAATCGATTGGATTCGTTGCATGTGGACATTGTATTCTTCAGATCAATCCGTAGAAAATGAGCTGAGAAGGATGTTAGTTGAGAGGCCGTTTCGAAAAAGAATAACAAACTCTAGGAATACGGTACCAAGTAAATGTAGAGCTGCAGTGTTTGAAGTTATCCACTTTGTTAACCTTTTATCAAAGCACACACGCGCACTGCGTCAGTTATAGAGACCCCTTACGATCGTCCACCGATCGATAGACTAACAGAATTCAGTAGTTCTTTGGTTTCGGTAACTTTTGAGATTACATACATCTACCTCTTGGGGGCGTTGAACTTACACATCACCTGCACGGTCCACTGACGTTTCGCTTGTCCGTACTCGTTGCTAACCACACATCGATACTTTCCGGCATCCGTAGGCTGCACATTGTACAGGTAGAGCTGAGGGGCGAGATAAAACATGGAGAAAACGTCGAATAACTTTAGAGATGAATTGAGTTCCGTGGTTTCAATGGAAGAAGTTGGCGAATTTGTGACAAAAAGCAAAGATGGCCTGAAGCTTTCATGACTGACGAACATATATATTGGTGAGGTTCCGATACGGAGCTTTGATTGACGCGTAGGTTCGACAATCCCAAATATCAAAAGGAAGAATTGGGTTCGTAATTCTACGGTACTATTTACACAGGGGTAAGCAAATATATACCAGAAACTCCAATTGTTCACGCTCGTAGCGTCAACAAGTTCACAGGTCTGTCACTGACCGGCACAGTATCAACGTCCTCACACCAAAAACCGGCGAGCGGAATGATGGCTGAGTAGCATAGGTTGCGGTCGTCCCTTCCGACGACGTCTCGTGATTCTCATTGGACGTGCGATTGCACGGAACCCATCAGAAAACAAGCTAAGGCAGGCTCAGCAAACGCACGTGGGTAAGTAGATCAGCAGCTCACATTCACTCACAGACACCCTTGTCAATACACAAGTGTCAGAAAGGACGGCCTCTGCGGCAAGGTGAGTGGCAGGTACGAACAAGCAAAACAACTGGAGGTCAATAGTTCATAGGTGGAGTAAGCAGATGAATGGGGGAATTATCATAAGATCAAGTTAGATTCAACATTATATATACGTATATATATTCGTATCTCTATTTCGACTGGCAATTTGTTCAGACAGACTAGCGCTGCATTGAGACCAGCTTTACATCGCCTGGCCTCACTCTCACTGGTATTGAGTTGGTTACTTCATTACGGCTGACTGTTATACTGAGTTCGAGATGGCTCGGTGGTTAAGGCGCGAACTTGGTATCCGGCAGGCCCAAACCAAGTATCTCGACTTCCCCCGTCTAGGCTTGAGCAGCCTGGCAGCCTATTGGCCCTCTTGTTTCCCTCGGGTAGTATGGTGGCTGGATACCGAAAAGGTGCTATAGCTGGACAGTTATTGTCGTTTATTTATTTCATATTATGACACAAGAAGAGCAACACAGTATCTGGATATGGACTTGCTTCGCCCAAGAATGATCCCGATTGATAGAGAGTGAAATCGATCGTCACATGAAGACGTTCCGCGTTTGAGACACCTTGTTCACCAGTATGGAAGTTAGGTGCCAGTGAGTATTACCGTTGTCTTCAATATTGATAATGATATGAGGCACAAAGAATGGATTCCTTTGCATTGCAGGTGGACAACAAACATCTTGTTCACCCCTTTGTGGAGATTTGCTGTTCGACTGCGAGGTGCATTGCTACTGTTTCCACTGTTTTGTGTCAAAAAAGCAGGAGCACTGAGTTACCAAGTCCTCTGAATCCGCTGCTCAGAAAATTGCATCTGACGATACACAAGGTTGGCGTACTTGAGGAAGTTAGAAGGCGAGCGAGTATACTACACCTAGGTAGTGGTTTCTAAATTTCCCAATGGCCAAGCGACCAATGAAGCTAGTGATTTTAAGCACAAAGCGGAAAATTCGGATCGATATCTCGGGCCCAGCAAACATTCATAGCTCTGGTAATACCAGAGAACCATAAAAGATACATACCTGTGTTTCGCTCGAAGAAATGTTTGCTCGAGAAAAGCGTTTCGGATCGATAAGTTCACCATCTTTGAACCATTCAACCTGGGCTCTGGGTGAAGCATCCCAATCGCAGAACAGTCTTGTGCTGGCATCTTGGAGTACAGGCCTTGGGTTTTTCCCTTCAGGTCCAGTAATCACAGGGGCATCTGGAAAGAAGGAGGGGTAAATTTAGGTGACACAGCCGTTTTGCTCTGCGACGACTTGGTCAGTTCAAATGATATCATTGCTTCAGGCGACTGCCCCCATGAAAGATATTGGTGTGCTCACGACCAGGTCAGTTTGAGTGGGGATTAATGAAGGTATTTGGAATGCATGTGGCAATTCAAATCACCCACCGATGAGAGTAGTTTTCTGGCTCGGGTTTCTTCAAATGGAGAACTCTAATCAGGGCTTTAATCCGCTCTCAAAAGATGATTGTGCCGACTGTAGGGTGGCTAGTTGCGCACCGGTAGTCCACTTACATCTGTTCTGCGGACGGTAGAGAGCGAAAAACCTCGGAGTAAAACGATACTTGTCTAGCTAGACAGACACATCCACTGTGGCGAGTTTTCAGCCAATAGCCCATCGTTCGATTACATGATGGGCAACTTTTCGATTATTTGAAAAATTTAGTTCCATGTTTCACCCTATTGAAGAGATTCACTACCGGGATGCGCCAGTATCACCTGATTTCATCCGTCATGTTTATCTTAATACAGATTGTGCTTTTCCGGCCTAACAGAACAACGTATCCAGATCGGCTTCTTTCGAACTCCGTAATACCACTGTCTAGGAATCCAAGGAAATTGCATTAGTTCTGACGACAGTGTGACAGAATCTTACAGATCATAACTGTGTTTACGGAACTATGTCACTTGTGCATCAAAATGGCATACCACTAAGAGGACACTCATATCAGACTACAGTGCCCCCGTATTGTTGTACGGCTGTGAAACTTGGTCACTTCAGGTGGAAGATCCGTGACCTCTTCAGATCTTTGACCACCGATGCCTCAGAGCTATAGCTGGAATAGGTTGGAATGAGAGAATTCGCAATGAGAAGGTCTCTGGTGACGCAGATGGTGCTTCACTGATAGAATAATTTCAGCACTGCAAGCTAATACGGCTGAGCCATGTGTCATGATGGCCAGTTGCCGCGCTTACTACGAATTATCAGAAACCTAAAAGTGGACTGAATATGATTTGGCAGAGGAAACTGAACAATATTATCCAGTGTTGTGACACTGCTGGGGCTGTTAGCTTTCCTAAAATGGGGTTAATATGCCCCTTTCCGTTCTTGACTGGAGAAAGTGAATGATATGCCGCCTAACCGATGCCAGTGGCGTTCATGCTATTAGCATCTATTAGACTGTCTGACAGTCTGGGAGCTGTAGGTTCTTCGAACGTCTCAATTATCTTCACGATAGAGAAGCACATCGCTGTCAAGTATGTGGTCACAATCCAGTCTTTGAAAAAAGTCCAAAAAGCAATATAATCTGTTAGACTAGCTTTTCAGTAAATTCATCCTAAATGGCTTGCTTTCACTAAATTTCGAAAAGTTAATAAAATTTTCCCAAAAAACAAATGATGGGATTTGCACCCTCCACGATTTAAAAGAAGACGATATCCAGAAGAACTGACTTTGGTAACCTCTTTGGCCTGCCTTGGACGGAAAAGCACCAAGTGCCTGCTCGTTTTCATCTCCGTCCATGTTGATCGCGTGCTTTCAAGTAACCTACCATGTTTCGCTCGAATCGCCACATTCATACCAACGAATTTCTTAAAATTCATAAATTTGGAACCTCCTATTTTGAGCGTGCTAGTAAGGCGAAGAGGCAAGGAGTTGAGGTTTTCTGCTACAACGCCTTCATTGTCCTTTACAATATGAAGGCTAGCCTATATCAACAATTGTCAACAGTTGACTGCCTGTGTTGGGCTAACGCTACCACAGGGGGTTTTATGGAAACTGGCCGAAACCCGTAGGTTGATTTAGTGCTTGTTTAAGGAAGGATCCTCCTTGATGACATTTCACAGTATCCAGTAGGCCACTATCACAGTTGGTCACATTCGGCACTCTACTGGGGGATCATAACATGATGGCGCTAGACAGCGAAAGTAAAAACTTGTGACCTGTCGCGTCATCTAACAGCACACGGCTATTTCTACCCTTTGGGTCCGTATAAAACTTATCCAACCGATATTAGGACATATTACCTAACCACGTGGCTACCTGGTTTGTATTTGGATTGCTTTTCTGGCACTATCATTGATAACCAGGAAAAGCTTTTCGCTGCCACCGACTTTACAACATCTCCGCTACTGTCAGAGAGGACGAAGTAAGAGAATAAATTAAGAAGAGCCACATGTACTTTCGACTGAATTAGGCTAGTCTCTGGTTTACTTGATGCACTGCGGTCAGCCCCCTGCCATTCTCAACCGTTCTGTCTAGGCGGAGACAGATGGATAATTAAAAAAAAACGTAGCAGGTCCTCATCTACATTGAAAAAACCTTGTTTTTACGCTATCAACCGTGCAAACTTACAGACAAGCGTCGGGTCAAAGATCTTGCGGACCTCTCCTGCCTTATTTTTGGCCACACAGGCGTAGCGAGTGATAAGACCGTAGTCCACATTCGGTAAATACAACTGACGCCCGTCGTAACGTTCTTGAATGTTCCGATCACCTGGTCCACTTGTTGGCAGGTCCTGTATTGTACAAAAAGGGGTGCAATTTAGCACTGGTCAGTGATGTTCACATAGGCTATGTGAGGCGACAGATTTCCATGGGTTTGTAAAACGAGTCAACAAAGGTGTATTTATGGTTAGGATGAGAGCCTGACTGGATCCGGTCTTGAATAGCTACTGACTTACTTCGTTTATTCTTATGCCACGAAGCTAAAAATATCTAGAGGCTAAGTGTAGAAATGTGAAAGATTTTGAGTAGAATGGTGGGCAGAAAACTATGCGTCCATTTAGTGACTAAAACTCGTGAACTGAGGTAGCATTGGATGACACTCAGTACTTCTCCAAGAGGATAATTCAAGCATTTTTTGATCTAATGATAGTATAAAGAAACCCGATCATTTTTCAATTGTGAATGCACCCCACTAGTAAAAAGCTGAAAAGCATTATAAAACTGTCATCCTTATAGGGAATTACCAGCAGTGCGCATCCCAAGAAATCCAGGTAGGGGTTTGCGAAACCGCGACCTCTGGGCCAGTAGTTCGAACACTTAACTTCTAAGAATGAAACGGCTTTTCAGAATAACTTAGTTTCACTTACAGGATGAAATCTAAACTGAACACTTGGTTCAGTTATGTCTTCTAAGCCCATACAACTGTCACTGGGTATATGGAGTCGTGAACTTCTTTGTGCTGCAGAAAACTTCCCAGTGTCAAATCGACAAATCCTTTCACATGAATGAAGCCAACCGTAGCAGAAAAGAAAGGACACTTCCAAATATATCACCTGCAAAAAACCATGTCCGTGGGGATAAGGCACCAAACACAGGGATCCCTTCAATCGGTCCGCATGTTCCCTCACTCTGAGGTAAGTGCCTCTTCCGTCTTGGTCCCGCGGAATTTACTGCTGGATTGCTGAGCGAGAGGTAAAAATTGGAGACCAGAATTTTTCAGAAGTCAGGAAATGCGGTCACGGCCGTTTAGCTCTGGTAATCCAGAATGTTCGAACATCCAGCTCCTCGTTGATGAACAACCTGGTTTCGTGCAATCTGGTTTCAAGTAGAACATAAGGTTGACGGAAACCCGGGGATTGCGCCTACCTGATGAGCCCCAAGAAGGGCGAAACCGGTCGTTGGCTGTCGACGGATTTCCAGCAACCCTATGAGTAGTGCATTACAAATATAAACCTGGTTCCGTGTTGGTATTCAGGCCACTCATCTGTATGTTTGCCCTTGTGCGAAGACTACCATTATTAGGGTTGTCTTTGTGTTTCTTGAGGTGTTTCCCATTGCTACCGACAAAATCTACTCCGATGAAAGAGTAGTGCATACAAATATAAACCTGGTTCCGTGTTGGTATTCAGGCCACTCATCTGTATGTTTGCCCTTGTGCGAAGACTACCATTATTAGGGTTGTCTTTGTGTTTCTTGAGGTGTTTCCCATTGCTACCGACAAAATCTACTCCGATGAAACCCATCTCCAAACAAGGATCGTCTCACCTAACGACAGGCTCCTATCTTCCACCGGGACCGCATGTGCGTTACCATTAGGACCAGTCAAGGATTTGCGTTCACTCTGTTCCCAGTTTTTCACTTTCCTCTCACGTTCACGCAATTCCACAGCAGCCATTACGTGTATGTTTCAATGGGGTGTGTTTTCGACATGAAAACTGTCTCCCATATTCAAAGTCTATTAAATTCGCATCCGTACGCTTTGGCAAGAGGGCGGTTTCACGTTTCTTATTTCTGAAGTGCAGTATCGTTGGAGGACAGCCTATCACACCTCAGCTGGCGTACGGTTGCCAATCTTCGGCCGTCAAAACTTGTCATGGTTCCACTATCGGCAGCTACACACACACACACTGAGATACTCGCCGTTTTTACCCGTTTCGTTAGAACTGTGCGCTGCGAACTGTGTGTACAATCGCTGTCTACCTAATTTGGTAGCAAAAGTTTGGAGGGACAGAAAGTTTGATGGTGCAACTGTTTTGGGGAGATGGTACGGATGTCGAATGGAGTCCTTCTATCAGCTTTTTACCCGTTTCGTTAGAACTGTGCGCTGCGAACTGTGTGTACAATCGCTGTCTACCTAATTTGGTAGCAAAAGTTTGGAGGGACAGAAAGTTTGATGGTGCAACTGTTTTGGGGAGATGGTACGGATGTCGAATGGAGTCCTTCTATCAGCTGATCAAAGTGGCACACCTACAAACCAGAAAAGTGGTGTTTCTGAAGTACGGTTACTTCAAACAACTGACGCAGACGCGGTCCAACGACCTAACACCTCCCGCGGTTAACAAAATTAATGCTCGCCGCTCAACGCTGCCAGCTGTTGTTGTGATTTAACACCCCCGGTGTTTCGACACTCACTGATTGTCCCCAAAAATTAGACCAGCTGTCGCCCATTAGCTGTGGGAGCCAGGTTGTTATGATCTTTGTGTCACATGTGCTCACAGGGGGATTTCTTAGGTGATTTAGAAGGATCCATTCTTACATGGTCACGAAAACATTGACAAGCATTGAGAATCCTTTGAATATTTTCATACTCCCCAAGCCAGTTATTCTATCTGTAATTTGGGTATGATACAATGCATTTCCTGGACAAAATGGTCGGCCAACTCAAGACAGATCAATCAAATACTGCATTAAAATACTGTGAGTAGTGATTATGACGTCGGATGTTACGCGTTGGAGTCGGATAGACTAACGGTGCATAATTTTCCACTGACATTTTCTTCTGTGGACTAAATCAGCCAAGCAACGACCTCAAAAGTGTTTGGTTCTCGGATCCGGGATTCATATCTTTTCGAGGTGCGATTGCAGTGCGAAGAATTCCGCCTCATCAAAACTGCTTCCTTGATGGATTAGTCTGTTTTGGGGAAGGGGTTAACCAGTGCCGGGATTACTGAACTGTTTTCTGAAAAAAAGAAAGTGAAATAGGGAATCAAGAACGCATTTTGGGACACCATATAGCCACCAACTCACGTATTCCCATCGAATTGTTGGCTCCGGATTTCCCGATACATTGCACCAGAGATGGCTCGGTTTTCCGCGTTCGAAAATCGGCGTCTCATGGTCCTTTCCATCAGTGATGCTAGGTGCAGCTATGGAATAAAAGCAACGAAACTTTATGCAGTTCATTCGTTAGTTCCGGTGGGTTTTTAAAATCCATATCTTATCGTTTTCTTTTCCCACTACGACTAACGGGAGTTGTGCAATGGGGGAATGACGTAGCACCTTCAAAGGCGTCCCACGCAGGACAAAACCTCACGTAAAGGGAGTACGTGTGCCCAGAATGGTGAAACTAATCCTAAGAGTGCTTTAATTCATTCGGAATGGAACATCCCGGTGGTCTTCAATGATGAACAAAAGTAGGCGAACGGCAAACAATGACCCCTAGCCCAAAATTTGCATTGATCGGATGAACTAAGACTCCTGTGGACTTACCGGACACCGACACGGTAATCTCCAGACGATCCTCACCAACAATATTACTCGCAACACAAGTGTAACGCCCAGCTTCATGCGTTTGAATGTCTCGAACCAACAGTAGACGGCCGTTGTCGTGGATAGAGTACCTGCTGCTTATCCCGCTTGTATTTGTTCTTACGGTAGACGAATCCACGACCTCATTGCCCAAGGCCAGGACGTGCATTGTTAATGGCGTGTCATCCTTCAGCCACTGGTACACGGGTTCCGGGTTGGCTGTTGCAAGGCACTGAAGTCTTAGTTCTGTTCCTTCGTTTACGTTAACAAATTGTGCACTTGAAGAATGCTTTAGGATTCCTGGGGAGGCTGAAGTAAGAATGGTGAAGATGGCAAGTGAGGGTAGCAAGTACGAACTGCATCACAAAGAACACAAGGGTTTATTCATTCCAGTTACTTTGATTAATGCACTCGCCGGAACATTCGTTGATGATTGTGGTTAAACACAAATGGCAGCCCAACAAACATGTTTGCAAGAAAACACAACAGAATCAGCGACAATGGTAACCAGGTGATGAATATTCTAGTCAATGCCGTGAAAAACTGCACCATCTTAACCACTTGACCGCAAAGTTATGAAACCGTTCCGGTCGAGACTAAACCAAATAGTCCACCATGTACATACATGTTCTTATGTATGTGGACAGACTTAATTGATCGGAATCGGTTTTTGGAGTCGAACCCCAAACTCCTCGCCCGTCAGACTAATTAGGCTACCGCGGAAGCAGGTTTACGTCACGCGGATGCAATCAGAATGCTTGCAGCAAGAGGAGGAGTTTTCGGCAACCCTGTGAGTAGTGCGTTACAAAAATATATACGTATCGCGACATCTCAAATATCAAAGCGACTGGAAAATGAGGCGGCCTGGTACAGCACATTCAGCTGCCTGGAAACATCAAAACCGAGAGATTCAGCTGGGTCTCAGGTGCGTCTCTCGCAAAAGCAAATTTGTTTACCAGTGCGTGTATTTCGCTAAGAATGTTTGCAGATTTGCCACACGTCTAGTTGCATACGTGTGCCTCTGGCCGCTATCCATGTTAGTTGAGCTGTTCGTCAGAGGTCACGAGGTAGAATCTCATTCATCAATCTGTGTGGCTGCATTCCACTCAGGTTTATTCAAATCCCTGTGGCTTCTACAGAGATGATCTCTTCAATCATGAAGATAGGACTGCTCAACCAACAACAACACCGATCACTTTGAGGCACACTTACACGTTACTTCCAATGTGTATCGATAATTCCATGACCCCGGAATGTTGACTGCCACACATTTGAATTCACCCTGGTCTTCCAAATTCACGTTGAAGAGCGTAAGCGTCGAGCCATCCGGACTGACGGTGAACCGATCTAAAATAACCAAGGGTGGAAGACGAATCACTACACGAGTCAATATAATAAAAAAACAGTTTACTCACAGATACCCTAGGCGATTGATGTATTTACATCTTATCAAGAAGTTTGAAAATAACAAGGCAGAGTCAGTCAATATGCAAAAAAGAATAACTTTTAGAATATGAGGGAACGGATCGATCATATACACATTCGGGATTTACCAATGCCGTAAAGTTTCACCACAAACTTCACTAAATTAATATTACAGAACTCCTAATTTGAAGGCGCTCCAAGATTTTTGAATTCGAATTCGCCTTTTTCAGTAAGCACCACCCTATCTGGAATGGTCCCGGAGAACTATTGTTTATACATTTCATTGTTACTTTTCGAAAATTTTTGTGACAATCGGTGGATTCATTGCTGGGCAACGTTTCGCTTTTGACACAAAAGCTTTGTCAGGCCAAGAGACAGTGTGGCTGTCAATCGTTAGCATAAACGGGGGTGGGGGTGGAAATCCTGACCCGACCAAAGTTCACAGCATCCCTCTTACACTAGCTCATCCACACAGACGGACAGAAAGTTAAAACGACGTCCATGAAGGATCATCAAGTGGACCGATTCAGAAGAACTAGACCCTAGGCTGGACCCAAACACGTAGGTTTCCCCATCAGTGCAACACTTGTTCACGCACCCTAACGCACAAGAATCCCTCGACCGACACCCAACAGAGATTTAGCTTGACTTAGCCGATTGGTTCTCCTTCCGCCTTAAATCTCGACCGACTTCGGAACTTAGTCACTTGGCCTGACGAAGCTTTTGTGTCAAAAGCGTCCAATAAATCACCAACTGTCACCAAACTTTTTCGAAAACTATGACGACTCAGTCGGTTCCAAGCATTTTTCATCTGATTGAACACATTCTTACTTGTTTAAGTTTTCTTGGAGTTTTCTTGGTTTCCGTAGGCGTAGCAGTAAGTTGCCTTCAAAACATGGGGAGGATAACTCTGGGTCACGGCTTGCTCTTCAGAGGGAGTAATTCAGTTGACGACATTAACGGACTCTGACCGAATTCGCTCGTTACACTGCTCATATTCAAAGTAGTCCACAACAGAATCTGTGCCTGACCAACCATTAGTTTTTGCACAACCGAGAACACTGTTCATAAGCCTCTACCTGATTTTAAAACTAGCGTTTTGAAATTGGTTTCAGGGTTTTGCTTGCTACCCATGTCGGCTGATAGGGTCTTGTTGGAGAAGTTGCTTGGTGTGCTGGTCAAATGATGAACTGGTATGTATGCTGTCAATTTCTCTCCAAATTATCCGGATGTGTTTTCAAAGGCGACAACACCTCAACACTCCTGTAGACAGAAAGAACCGAATCTCCAACACGTACGCATTTCCTCAACGGTGGATTATTTAAAGTAAGTTTCCAAAGTGGTCCGAGAAGTAATCACTAGCATCAGTGCTGGACTTGGGGTTATCAGGTGATTTTGAAGATCGATATAGCGTCTACTGATAAACTGAAAGTTTTATTGGATTGATTAAACGCCAACGGTATATGCGCCTCATTCCCATTAGTGGTACCTTCTCTCTTGGGTAGTGGGGAATCCAATCGGATTAGAAACTGCCGTATCACCCGGCAGCGCTAATGGATGCGCTGCCTGTTCCGAAAATGCCTAATAACTGAGGGGTAGACCCGAGAAGTCTACATTAGTGTATTTATTGTCCCCCTTCTTCGAAGAGAATTCACCCTTCGAAAAGAATTCACTGCCCTCAGTAGTCTGTTTCCATTTGTTAGGGGCGAGTCGGCTATGACATTATTCAACCGAATGTGTTGCACGGAAAGCCTGCCATGCTTCGCATAAGGTTGCTGAGCATCGTGTCCGATCTTTGCGCACATGCCACTGAAGAATAGTACAAATGACGGCTGAGTATCTCGTTAACACCAATGTGATTTGCATCATCATCATCATCATCATCATCATCATCATCATCATCATCATCATCATCATCATCATCCCAATAATAATAATAATCATCATCATCATCGTCATCATCATCGACAGCATGACATCAGTGTTCAACACCGATGCTTCACTGCCGTAGCTGATCAAACTAGCCTACAACAAATCATCAGGGTATATTTGAAGCAGCGATCGATTGCTTAATTGATTCACAGTAAGTAAAGCACACTGGCTTTATTGATATGGCAGACGACCGGGTTTATTTAAATGCCTTATTGTAAAGAAAAGAGTAAAGGTGAACGTGGAAGGGACTCAGCACTAGCTTAACACAATCATTCCGAGGTTCCTATACCTCCGGACATTCACTCAGGCGATCTGGATAGAAACTGACAACAAGATCGCCACTGACATCGGTTGGCAGTCACATCTTGTAGTGTCTCCAACTAGGCGCAGTGAGGATCACGCGGTCCCCATCCTGGAAGGTGAGTAGCACCGGCAGTAGCCAAGCGTTTCGTGATCTCCTCCATACTCCTCTGCCAAGTCAAGAGTTGGCCACCTCTCTGTTTACGCCACTCTGAAACAGCACTCTCTTCGGCAAACGATGGTTCGGCATCCGCATCACATGCCGCAGCCAACACAGCTTCCGCTGCTGGACACGTTCTTCAATGTAAACACCCGTCGCACAACCGAAAACGCGCTTTCTAACTGCGGATTCGCATACAGTAGAACATGAGGTTGACAAAACTGGGGGACTGCGTCTATCAGACGAGTCCTAAAAAGTTAGCGGGTTTTCCGGGCTTATCAGCAATCTAGAAGGTAGCGTGCTATGCCCAGAGAATTTTAAGGGTTGTTTACACAAGCGAAAACCTTCCATGTATGGTTACCACTGGTAGTAGAGGTAAATCTTCCAGCTTATTAGTGTAAAATCGACTTGTTATCTCAACCTAACTGGAAACAACAAATTAGCAGGATAAGGTGAAAACCGTTCTCAGAAAATAGTATAGTTTTGAGGGTTTGTACAACTATTCATAGTCGGAATTATGAACCCAGTTATTGTGAAACTCAGTAGTGTGTCTAAAGCATTTTACAAAGCATGTCCCAACTATGGAGAGTATAAAAAACAAACATTTGTGCCCACTTCGCTCTTGTTCCAGCACTTTTCTTTCCCATGCGCAACGTTTGTTCTGATTGGTTTGCATTGAACGGGATCCAAGTTTGTTTCATTACAGAGCTCACTGGCAATGCATGTCGAAAGGTGCGCCGGAATTCGAACCTCGGGTATCTGAGATATGCACAAGTTGTATGTTCCTATCACCCCGTTTACACACGCTGAACACGTAGATTATCTTTGACCAGTCAAAGATGCTCATGATTGTGGTCGGTTTTTGCCCGCCAGTGTTAGTACGTGACTGGATAACTGACCTGGCTGCCTATGCGCCCTCTAACAGCCACTGTATATGAACTTATTAATTTGTTTGTTTGTCAGATGGCAGAAGTTTGGATGGCACTCAAAGAAGGTGAACAATATATCGGACCAACGTAACACGTTGTAGTCTTACGCAAATGAGTGTCTTCTGCTGTGTTGAGCTCTTTGTACCGAGTTTCTCCGTGGCTGGAAGCAGGCATCTCTTGACTGGATGCTTACGAAAGCATTTGCACGACTGCCCTGTTTGTCTGGGTTTCGAAACCCGGCGCGTGACTGATGGCCCGCTAACGGGATTAGAAATCGGAAAAATCCGCTTCCTTTGGCGGAGACAGCTGATGTACCAAACACAGTTTGGTTACGCCTCAAAAGAAGCCTTCTTGCTTTGAAGTTACGTTGACTTCACACGCATGAGTGGCGCACCGTTCTGGTATAGAGGTGTGGCTTATTAGTCATGGAGCTTAATTTCCAGAAAGCAACCTCTTGGCCAGAAACGATGCAACAAGTTTCAGTGAGACGAAACTCGTTTCCGGGTTTGTTCGTAAAAAGTACTACTAGTCATGAAAAAAGGATACGTGCACGGAAACATTTCAACTTTCAGCAACAATGGACCTAAATCATAAGGGCACACCTTGTGGCATTACACTGAAGATGTCTTTCTCATCCTTGAGCCACTTGATCTGAGCTGGTGGATTAGAGCTCATGATACAGGTGAACGTGATATTTCCACCCATCCGGGTCGTTTTGACCGTGAGGTTTTGTTGAAGCTGCTGACTGTCCGTGGGTTCTGTAGAAAGAATTCACAAGAAACAAAAACGTAAACAGTACACCTGCTTTTGGTAAATTCGAACACGGAGAAGATTCACACTCATACGTGTGACTAAAAGGGCTCATGAAAAACATCAAGCGATACATGAGAGCACAACAAAAAACTACAGTCAAGTTTTCTGCTTCTTGCAGTAACATTTTCTAGTTACACTACTCATTAGTGGCTTCTGTCAGCGGAATCACCTTGACTCTGAAGAAGACCAGACATGGCTATTTGCACACAGACTGGACGGAATATTGGTAGCCAAAAGCCACCTGATCAACAACTAATAGACTAGACGGAGCAACACTCAAGTTGAGGGCACCCTCATCAACTCAAACTCAGTTGTTCTATCAGCACAGGCATTCCTTTTTCACTCAGTCATTCAAGGCTATTCAGAAAACACAAACTACTTTTTACCAGGTAGTAGTCATGCGCAGAAAACTGCTGTTAATTTTTCCTCTGTTTTTTTCAAGGTTGAGTTGGCTTGAATTGGCTATTTCTTAGTGTTCCGTATATTACCAGAAATCTTAAGTAACACCATCCGATTTGGGCCAAATGCATACTGGTGCCGCGCCCCTTAGATAAATTAGATCGTCATTTTGGCTTAAGTATGGTAAGACTTGAAAAATACGAACGGCGCACGGTTGGGTTCAGTGCGTTTGAATTTCATCAGACAACCTTTATTCACGAAATCTATGAAAGCAGTTCGCAACTTGAACGGCAATTTGGTCGTAGAAAGTTTGTTTGCCTCATGCGTATGTGAAATCGTTGGAGTTGGGGATTCCCTCGAATACATCGTATTCGCTACGATTTTAATATTCTCCAGAAAATGCGCTGCGCAAAAGTTACTTCGATCCTTTGGTTTAGAAATATTCATTAGAGTTTTGGATTTAGCTGGTGGGAGAGGATCGCATAAAATCCGAAGGCAGTCAGCTGACTACCGGTTTCTCCCAGTTCCTCCGAGAGGCATCCCACAGGAATCTGTGGAGGCGAACTCTCCAATCTTATCTTTGCCCGGAAATTTCGCCAAGTTCAAAGTGCGTAGTTGAGCAACCCCAACTTTAGTTGCATCATATTGACCTAGAAAGTTTCTGGATCTCCCTTGCTTGGTAGCTATTCGATGGCACCTAACAACACCCCATTTATGATTTAAATTAAAAGGCCGTCTCCCATTTGACTTAATTACCGTTTTTCAGGGAAAGGACGAGTGAATTGGTGACCATGGAAATCTCTCCCATATTCAGGAGAAAAAATGGTTCAACTACGGGTTTAACTCCGGCTGAATAATGGAAGGCAACTAGTAGTAAACGAGAATGCATGAAAGCTTTAGGGCTACACAATCGTACAACCATCACTGAAAAGTTGCATATACAACACAATGTTTTTTTGGGTCGATAGGATTGTGAACGGCGTCGGGAAAGGCGCTTGGACATGTGTTGCTGATCAACAGTTGTCCGGTCTATTCAGTATGCGGCGTTTTAAGTTGAACTACTGACTTTGGATTAGAGGTTGGGTGGACTGGGGCTTCCTTATAGGTGCAATGGTCAGACCTAGGACCGATGATGACCCCATATATTATTGGTCCTTTGAGTTCGAACTGAACAACTCAGTATCAGGTCACGAACGCTAAATTACAGCACAGTGAAAACACTTCCATAGAAAGCAAGAATATTTGAGTGACAATAGCTAACTAGTTGGAAAATACTGCGGAATCACTCACCGAAAACGGTTAGTACCGTTGTTGCCCTTGCCGAACCTGCCTCGTTCTCTGCCACACAAGTATAGTCTCCACCTTGATGCGGCCGGGCAGATAGAAGCATGAGGTTTTTGGGACCTACCAGCCTGCGGCAGCAGCAAGACAAAGGAAAGGCAAAGGCATGCCCAGTTTTACTCACATCCTGATGGTATTTTGTACAAGTTTCCCTGATTCCTTGTTGTATTAAGCTCGCAAGTATACTGAACATCCACTTATCCATTAGTTGAGGTGGTTCAGCCAACCTGCAGTATTCAGCAAGCTCAACAAGCCAGATTCACTACACTTAAATTCGAAGGGTAGCGAAGAAGTTGGTTCGCGAGAATACAACTTACATTCCCCCACAGTACATGGTCAAATTCATACTAAAAGCCTGTACCATCTGTCACCGAACTACTACTCATTGTAATGGTAAGCAGTCGAGAAAGTGATGGAAGACGCCTTTGGTTCACGGTATTCCGGAGACGCTACTGTTCATGATTAGGGTTATGGTGGAACACACAGACATGACTCTGAGTGAGGATCTGTTCACTAGCATCATCGTTTAGCTGTAACAACTCCGCCGGTTCTTCGCTGTCGTGTCACTAGATGAAAGTACGAAAGCTGGCAAGTTACCCAAACCCAGATAGAGGTGGTCGAGATGCCGGGGTTGGTTCGAACCAAGGACCTTCCTGCAAGTAAGTTCGCGTCTCGGAAGCGAAACTATCCTCCTCAAAAGGTTGGCCTATTTTCAATTCGACGAGATTCTGAAAGAAGGCGTGGTAAAAAGCCTTTGTTCGTCTATCTAAGTTGTTTGCGCCTTTGGGCACGCTTTCGGTGCATATAACTACTTTGGATATGAATCGATTTCAACTGTTTAAGGACAGAGCTGCAACCGAATAATTCTCTGAAGAACTTCTCCTAAAAGTGAACGGTACTGAAATCGAGCCCGAACTATCGAATGCGGTTGCAAACGACGTTCACTCTTGTAAACCACCGTCTCTTACTGACCCATAAATTTATCAGCTAGAGAGTCAAGTGCAAGCACGTACTACTGGTAACAGTAAAAATAGTAGTGGTATTAGTAAAGTAATGGTAAAAAATAAGGACTATGACTACCGTGGTGATGATAAGCGAAAGGCGGGTAGAAGTAACCACAGTGTCCTTGAACAATGCTTCTCAGATCCAAATGTCCACGGGCAACATGCCTCTGTGGGATTTTCGATAGTTCGACCTGAACAAACTTGGTTATTCATACTTATAAACGGGTGGGTTCACCTGGACATAACGGTGGCATCTTACACCGTAACAGAAGACCTAAACCGGAAGAAAAACTCTGAAAACTGCCAAGATGCGTGCATCCAGTGCAAGTCAGATTGTTAGATGTTGCGTGCAATGAACTAATTAGCAAGTGTGCGCACCTTAGATGCCTTCAAAACCTATAGTGTACATTACTCACCGGTATCCGGATTGCTTATCCGGGTTCAGTGGTTGTCCATTGAAGTACCAAGTCACTCTCGGCGGTGGACTCCCACCTGCCTCACATGTTAGAGTGATCGTGTTGTTGACGAATACCACGGCCTTTTCATTGAAACCATCAATAAACGGTTTTTCTGTAACGAAGGTGAGTTAAAGTTTGAAATAGTTTCGAAACATGTTTCGCGGTGATCCCAAAAGGAGACCAACGCGATCGGAGGTATACAATCTATGACCGTCAGTTGCGCGCATGCATACGAAGCTATACCTCATGCGAGAAGTCACGTGGAATTATTCCGAGTCCGTATAAAAAATCTGACGGAGCCTTCGATGCCTAGCGGATTAGCAAAGCTTTGAAATTCTACTGTCGTGATCAAGAAGATTTACTAATTGTCAGAGCTACTGACTGACTCTTATTATTTGAGAACGAGAAGAAATCCTTAAAGACCCATAAGATTCACCGAAAATGGACAGAGGTCATCCACGATTTATGTGCCTACGAAAATCACACCCACGTCCCTACTTGGATCTGAACTTGCCGTTTTCGCTATGTGATCACGTGTGATCGGTAGTTGAGCTTAGCCCCACTGATGTCTTGCATCGCGGATCCCCAAACAAGATGATCTGAAACAACTTCAATCACCGAACGAATCCAAACTCCAGTCCATCATCCTGTAGAACTGAGTCCAGTTGAATTCGCCTGACTATCGGACAGTGGCTAAGTTACATGTTTCCCCCTTTGTAGGTAGATTTTTGGGAAAAATGGTCGAAACTAATGCAGTCACTGATACGGTGCAAGTTAATCACACAACTTATCAGTCACTCCTTACAGAACGGTTAAGTGTTCAAACTACACGGGAGGAATGATTGCGGCTCCGAGAATCCCCACTAGAGTTTCGTTAGATGCGCACTGCTGATGATTCTCATTCAGGATGAAACATCTGTACAATGACCGTACAGTCATTTGGCCTGGATGGATTTCCCTTACAGAACGAAATCTCGATGGATGGAAAAACAAGGAGGCATACGAACGATTCCAGTGGTTACTTTTGCGACTGGTTTAGACGAAAATACAACTGGCATTTTCAAAGTTTACCTGAGTGCGATGTTTTATCAGTCACTCCTTACAGAACGGTTAAGTGTTCAAACTACACGGGAGGAATGATTGCGGCTCCGAGAAATCCCCACTGAGTTTCGTTAGATGCGCACTGCTGATGATTCTCATTCAGGATGAAACATCTGTACAATGACCGTACAGTCATTTGGCCTGGATGGATTTCCCTTACAGAACGAAATCTCGATGGATGGAAAAACAAGGAGGCATACGAACGATTCCAGTGGTTACTTTTGCGACTGGTTTAGACGAAAATACAACTGGCATTTTCAAAGTTTACCTGAGTGCGATGTTTTCGATTTGCAATCGAACGACTCAGTAACTTAGGCGCACGGGGGAGCAAACCTTGTGGAATTTATCAAGGTCTTCTGGACGACGATGGCGTGACTTCAAAGAGTTTAGGTGACCGTTTTGCTGCGAACTGCAGCAAAGCGTGTATGAAGAAACTGTTCTTAGAGTGGTGTATGCGAACGCTGCTTACCACAGTGGTTATCATCTCCGGTAATTCGTGGAAAACAAACATCAGATCCACATATCCTATTATTCGACAATTTCAAGTTAAACATTTGAAGTTTTGCGACACTGGTTTTGAAGACTTTTGGTGATGTGTGTGCGTATTAGCAGCCGAAGCGTACATAACTTCGAAAATCAAATTTTATTACTGTTATTATGCTGATAGAGTGAATATGCTGACTGATTATTTTTAACGCAGCAGTGAACAGTTGATTACACAGTTTAGTAACACAAGGGCCGGCTTACTGTGGCTATTACCACCAGGAAGAAGTAAACTCTTGACTCACCGTCACCCACATGGTTGCGGAAATCACTTCAACAGTCTAAGATCGGTTTCAGTCTTCCTGGAGCTCGTCAGGCGAGCCTAGTTTTCGAGTTTTCATCAGTCTTATTTCCCTCCTTGTAAATTAGGATAACGTTGAAGGGCGACTCACCGGAGTATAAGTCGAAACGATCTTTTAGAATATAATGAGTAGTGAGCCAGTCAAACCAGTTTGATAACTCGAATATCGTTCCAAATGGAAAACAAGGCGGTCACTATGCAGTACGCTTTGTTGAAGTTAGGGATCGAGAGTTTCAACTTGTATTTAGCTGATCTTCTTCTAACATCTAGATGGGACTCATTCTATATGAGTTACGGGCAGTGTCTGACGGGACGGGCTGAAGACGGCTAAAGAGGCGTTCACTCTATGGGAGTTCAGTCTATAAGTTGGCCGTGTATTCATACTTCCTAAGATTGAGAGTTGTGACTTTCTTCGCGTTGAGTTTGCGTTTCATCACTTTTCCGGTTTATGGGAGAGTACCCCTGAGAGCTTAACTGTGGCAAAATTCTGCTATGATAAAACTGACCTGTTCCAGTTTTTGTATCACACTTCTGGTCTATTCATCTTGCGTTAGTGGTACTTGTGAAGTACATCCTGTTCATCTACGAACCCACTAGACATCGTTACTAAGAGGTATAGAACTCAGAATCAACTGTACTCGGGGTAAAACTGGATGTGATATTAGAATATTGTAGAATGTTTCTGAAAGACAATGGGTATACACAAGAAATTTCATGCAGTCTCTGAAGGACTAAAGGATTGAAATGTTATCATTTGTTTTTTAGAATCGTCTCAGAATCAGGAACATCAGAGGAACTACAAAGAGATATTACGGTGACATGCTACATCAATGGAGAAACAAATGAAATCAGGTGGAACAGAATGGACACAAATTACATAGAATTAAAGTAAGGCACACCAATTTGCCGTACTGCGACGCAATAACGCTGAGTCATATTAACCTGCTGGTACGTGGTTCTTAGAAAAACTGGAAAAGGCTGACCCCTATGGAGAGTTGAAATGTGTAATACTACTGATGAACAAGTTCAAGGTCAAACTTACCAAGGACGACGATTTCGTAGACAAGTTCAGTGGAACCGCCTTTGTTTGTGCCCAAACAGGTGTAACTAGGGGAAGCGGTTGGAAGCGACAGGGTGAGCAGAGAAAACACTTAATTTAGTTCCAGGTAACTCATGCTCAGGATTGGAACATTGCTATAATCGAGAAGCAAGTATTGGGACCCTACAGTATATCAAATTTCGTGATGAGGTTCATTTTTTGGCCAACCTCCGTTTGCATTAGGCTACAGAAAATGCTCAATAGGTGACCCTGAAGCTGTTTCTGTTGCCTGGACGGCTGGATCTGTTATCATCAAGTCGTTGAGGTTCCAGCCAAGCAGCAAAGTTTTGCCAGATTAACAGAAAAGCTAGTAACACCTATTGAACAAAATTCAGAGGGCCTGAACTGAGATGAAAGGATGTGTGGAATGCTGAGAAAGTAAATGGTATAACTACGGACAAGTTGAAGCCGGAAAAAGAGCAAAAAGTAGGCGAAGCATCTCATGACTTGACCTGTTAATATGCCCGTTTAGAATCCACAATGAGAAGACTTAAGTTGAAAGTTTCTCATTTCACACTTACTTTCCCTGAAGTTCCGGTGTCATTTCCATAATCACAATGTCCGTTTGTTCCGGACCCTTTGGTACCAGTTGGATGCCAAGATTGGATGCCATACCCTCCTGGATGGTGCCTTTTGTACTCAACGGCTGTCCGTTCCAATGCCACGTAAGTTTGGGTTCCGGATAGCCTTGCATTCCACACTGAATCTCTACACGATCTCCGGATTGGACAAGGAGACGCCGATAACTATCACCAGTTGTAATGGTTGGTGGAACTAGTGTTGAAAGGTGAGAATGGGAAACCAGCCTGTCAATAGCCATACCTTGAAATAAGTCTTTCTTTCGTGCACAAATATATAAACAGTCGAAGAAGGGAATTGTATTGATACTGATATTGATAAGGCTCGTCTCAGTTGGGTGAGAAGAACTTGACCTGACCCTGAACCATTTTAGTAATGAATGATAACTTAGTTGAATATAGGCTGTAACACGAAGTTGGGCGTGTTGAGTGAAGCTCATTAACATGTGGCGTACGAGAAATTCGGAAGCTTGAGCTGTTACCATGACCTGGCTCAATGAGTGGGGGTAAAATTGCTCTGTTGGTAGAGGATAGAATCAAGTGGATATTAGCTTATTGTTTGGGGCATCCTTTAGTTCTTTAGTGCTGCCGGCTACTTGTTTCAGTGATCCGTATGGAATGACTGTGAGGCATCACTTGTCTTGCATCCGAATTGGAATGTATCGCCCATGGAACACGAGGAGCCTCGATGGATCAGTTCGATTGGTCATTTCTGTGTTACCTCCATCACAAAAGAGCAGTGAACTTATGACGATATTGGGTGCTTTGCGATTAGTGGAAAATGCTTTTTTTATCCGCACAACATCACTGTTTGGATCTGTCAAGCTGACCTGAGGTTCCGCCGAGGTGGAAACAGCCATTCCATCTGAACATATTAAGTGCTTCAAAACTTAGTCACTAAAACAGCCTTGTTTTGACAGACAATGGGGCGTGGCATCCTTGCAGCCAGAAATATAATCATCTCAGTACATATCCTTTATGGATTTGGAAGAGACTTTCCCTCCCAGTAAACTCGTCAAACTCATTTTTACATCTGCTCATCAATACGGTCCTCATCCTCTGGTGAGACAACGTGAAGCAACCGAAAGAAAGCGGTCAACTTTGGGAGGAAATCTCTTCAGTCGGGGGGTTCACTTTAAAGAGATACTCCACTCCACCCCACCAACCAAACTAGTCTTTTCTGGGCAGTAGCCTCTTTAGAGCTAGGTGACGTTCGAGTTTAGGCGGTCATAATGAATAGAGTACGTAATCATCATTGTCAGCTGTAATAAGCGCGTACTCGTTGTATAGTGGTTGTAGCTGCCACAGTTTCGTTCACCGATGATTTCGGGGAGGGGTAGGTAGCTGCGCGTTGCAAGCGGGAGCTGATAAATTGGTGCACAAATCCAGCACTGTCAGTGGGCTGTCAAGTGGTGAGGGGGTTGGAAAAGGAGCTATGCATTGAAGGCAATAGCTTGGATGCACGAGCGCCATTGAG